CAACAAGAAGCAAAAGATCAAGACACCAAACATTCAGTCAGCGGGGCAAAGAAGAACAAGTGTTCCTTACTCCTGTGTGGATTATTTGTCCACTCGCACAAGCAGGAAGACAAGCGTGGTGAGATGCTGCGGCAGTACCTGGGAACGATTTCGAGCGCGAGCAACGCAGAGTACAACTGCATCGAATTGTCAGCAGGCACCGAAGACCACTCGTACACGACAGTTGAAGCAATGCCGAAGATTTGCGAGTTCCTTGAATCCAAACTTGAGCTTTGATCATCCTTATTTTCCAGCTTTTGAGAGTTTTTTTTTTGTAGCAAACAGTCGATCATGGGCATTTCCGAGCTCGGTACCTATGCAGCGTTTTGAAAACTCAATATCTGGGGGACTCAACAAAACTACGAAGATAATACCTCCAGGAAACCATCACTTCACTGGTGATCGTGATTGTAAAATTCGCACAAGCTCCAGGTAAGTCTTCGACAGAGGAGCTTGGATCACACCTAAGAAAAAACCATGACTAGATTCATATGAAAACATGTCTATACCTGTATTGTTCGCAGTGGCACGTTGGATCCTTACCGTAGCGACCGGTAGAATGTGGCTCTGGAACTCTTTTGTAACCGCGTATGTACCATCATCTCCCATCTATGAATCGGTCACATTAGAGAAAAAGATTTACGAGAAATTACCTTCTGTGGATACAGCACCAAAACCGCAAGGAGGTAGTACTCGCTGGAGTCCACGTCGGCGTAAGAGGTGCAAACGAATGGGTCGCCACTAAACCAGTATCTGTTCTTACTCCGAGCGGCAACCGTGGCGAATCCACTCTCGAGGATGGAAGAGATGTTGGTGCTCGGAGTGCCATGGTAGAGGAGGAGAATCCAGTCGCTCAACTTGTGGTACTGAAAACCTGTAGACTTCTCCAAATCGGCAGCCGTGATCTTGGCTGCAAACACATTGATCAAAGTTTATAAAATTGGTCGAGAAAAAATCTCAAAAATCTCATCCTCTTACCGAGCTTTGGCTGGGCACTAGCAGCGCCGAGGAATGCTTGCTCGAACCTTTTGTACACCAGGTAGTCCTCCTGGCCAAGGAAAGGATTCATCTTCACCTCGATTACCCTGTTGTCGCCAAAGAGGGTGCCCTGGACCATCTTCACCACGAATGCTGCGGAAATCAGGAAAGGAAGCCCTCGCAGCGTGGAAATCTCAGGCATCGCTTGAATCCCTGGTTGCGGCGGCTGCTCTACGGCTGGCTCTAGGGCCGCATCGAGCTGCGAGAAACAGGATGAAAGATTTCGACCTTAGATCGATGAAAGAAGATGAAAGAAGCTGCGATCGATTGGAAATCCCTGGAAACCTTTCCCTTGTAGCAGGATTTGAGCAGCGCCTTCGCCCTGGCGATCATCGCGTCTTCTTTCTTCCTGCCCTAGAGTCTCGTGAGCGCCAAAACATTTCATTCAAATGAGTAAACACGTTGGAACTAGGAATATTCAAAAACAAAGACAATGTATATTCTGGTCAACCAAATTTATTGACTTTGCAAATTCTTTTGATCAAGCTATGAACAAGACTTTGGATGGATCATTTTTGCTGCGCGATGCAAACATCTCTGTTCTTGTGCTGGAGCCATGGCTCGTGATCACGACCCGGACTCGAGGACAATCTCTGGAGATGCTGGAGACGATTTGGAGAAAGAGAATTTCCCAATTTGATGATCTTGTATCTTGCTATAGATCACTCCATCACAGCCTGAAGGTCGACGAGTCGTGAGATCCGGTGGAGCTGGATCGGCTGAGCGAGGATCCACACGACGAGGGACATCGCGAGGGAGAGGGCGTGAGGTGCCGCTTGATCTCGGAGAATGCTGAGGCGATGGAGTGCGCCATGGAGGCCGCGATGGCGGCCTTGATTTGCCCCCTTCTGGGCACCCTGTGCTTGGCCCTCGAATTCTTGAGCTGCTCCTTCTTGAGAAGCTCGATCACTGCCGCGGCCGAGGACCCATCACGCAGATTGCTCGAGATTTCCATCGAATCGATCGATAGAGCTCGGAAGAACACGAAGAGAGCGAGAGAGCGAGAGAGAGGTAATGATGGAGAAGAGTATGGATAAAAACCCCCGCTACCAAACAGTTTATATATACTAGTGGCTTTGACCGGATGAAAGTAATATCGCCAAGGTAATTTTGATCACGTTGATTGCTTCGAGAATTTAAACTTGGAGTGGAGTGGAATGCAAGTAACGTCTTGGCCAGGTGCATTCATCATGATAGGGGCGAGAATGAGCTGGCGAAGGTTCCCTGCAGCACCAGAGGAAGCTTCTCGGAGGCCTGCCAATTCAAGCACGTGCCTCCACAGGCCTTTTGTTTTGGCCTAGCCAGACAAATCTCGTGAGATCTTATTGCCTTTTTAAAAAATCATTTGAAAATGCACCCACTAACCAGTGGCCACCACCTCTTTAACTTTTCCTTTTGTTCCTTATACATAGACGAGACGAAGTAGAACAACAATAGCTGGGCTGTTGACTGTATCAGTCAAACAATCAGGCAGGGAACACCTAGTGAAGTCTGGATTTGACTAAAACTCCCCTAGAGAAAAATTACACATTGACCAATTGCATTGACACAGAGAACAATCTTACTGACTGGATTGACCGGGTTGTAGACTGTGCCGGTCAAACAATTAACCTCGTGAAATCTTGAAACTCCAGGCTTCTAGACAAATCTGACACATTGACTCGTCATCTAATGCGAGACGACTCTTTCAGATATGCTTTAGTCTTTCTCACTAGGTTGACTAAGCCGCCGTTCGGTCATCCGATCAATCTGCTGCTGTGATCTTCATCCTCGCCCAGATCTCCCGATCTAGAGCTGCAACATTTGCTGGAAGAAAAGGAGAGAGCTCGAAAGGAGCCGGAGCAATCGCTGGCGGCGATGGATTCCTTGACCTGGGAACAGAGCGAGCAAACAGATTGGAGGAGTGACGAAAAGATAGCCGCCTTGACATGCCCGCGCTTTCGTTGCCGCCGCCGCCGCCGCTGCTGCTCCCGACCCATGGATGAGTTGCTCTTTGGATCCTGATCGCTCCACTCCATTGTTTGCTCCAGCCCTAGTGAGCTTGTTCGGAGATATTCCCCGAAAACTTGCTAGAGGGTTTACCTTCTGTTTTCCAGCTGGCCGTGATGGATTGTTTATAATTCATGGAAGCATCCGAAGGTGTCTAGAAACGCTCGTGCCGTCAACGGTCGTGGTGCATTGAAATGAAAGGTGGTGGCTTTCGACCAAAAAGGAAATTTGGCGCTCACGTTTAGTTAAGTTTTGGGAGTTTGGGCTTAATAAGCTTTTATAGATTTTACTGCAGCCACCAATTCTACGTCGTCCTGGTGAGTCTCCAAAATCTCCTGACCAACGCACCTGAGAGAGATCGATAAATGAAAGATTTTAGAATTTGCGTGTGGAAGTTCTTACTCAATTAGATAGCACGCCGTCTCGGCAACAGCCGCGCGTACTTCCAAGTCCGCGACTTTACAATGCAGCTTCACGGCCTGCTCCCAGATACTGCTCATTCGGAACATTTGCGAGATTGTCAGGAAATAAGAGAATGCTAACACGAACCTGTTTGCAAGATGCGGTATTCGGACCCAAGTGTGAGTAATCACAGCCCGCAAGCAAGAAAGAACCTACGCGAAGAAAAAAAATTGTCATCAGGACGAAGGAACGTAATTTCCGTTGAATTCTCACCAGAATGGACGTCCTTTTGTCTCCAGTGTCAAGCCAGTAGAAGAGAAGAGCGAACAGTCTCTTGAAAAGAGCGACCAACACAAGACCCATCGCCTTGAGTTGAGGTCCGATCTCTTGGAGGAACACATTCGTTTTCTCCTTGTCGTCCGGATGCCTCTCAAGCTCACCCAGCATCTCAGCCAGGATTTTCCTGTACCTGTGTGGATGCCTTAGAGATTTTTCCTGATCAAACTCAAAAAGGAGCTTTCGTCTTACCAAGGCGAGCGGGATTCCGTCCTTCTATACGCGTCACAAGGCGAACAGCAGTTTTCACGACCAGCGGCCACAACTCGTCGCATCCAGCGATGTTTTGACATACGGCATCGAGTAGAACGTCTTTGTACCACCTCAGCTCGGTGGAGTTCATGCCCTGCTCCAAATGGAGACAGCATTCCAATCCTTGGCGCTACAGGAGAAAAAAAAAGGAACAAGCTGAGGAAAAACTGTAAAAGAGAATGTACCTTGATTGGAGGTGAGTAGTGATCTAAAGCTGTGAGAACACAGGGCATGATAATTTGGCAGTGCTTGCCGAGATGAGGATGGCCAATCTACAAAGAAAGATAATCCAAAAACTTCCGACTTTGAGCTAGATGGAGAACAAAGACTTACCTGCGAAAGTATCCAAGACATTTGATGCGCCAGAACGATGTCATTTGAAGCGTCTCGAGAAGAATGCCCTTCTTCATACAAGCTTTGAGCAGTGGCCTCTCTTGTTCCATGCCTCAAACTTGCGTGGATCTCCAGCAAGAGTTCTCGCAAGTGATCCAAAACCAGCTGCTGCCTAGACGAGCCGAGACAATCGATCGCACTGACTGCAATCTCCCTGAGCTCGTCCGTCGTCCACTCCACTTCGCCACAAGCAAAATTAGCGAGCGTAGAGATCACCTCTCTCTCGCGAGGCTTGTCCCATTTCCCAGACACAAGCGCTGCTCTCAGGGCGACCAGCGCCTCGCGCGACGACGCCAGGAACTCGGCCCTGGCACCGTCTTGCTCCTGGCTGCTCGCGTAGGACCTCGTGAGCTCCCGCGGCACTCTGAGCGCCTGAGGAGATGGAGTGAGAATGAAAATCCAATGCGCATTACCTCCAAGAGCCGGGAGATCTCCTGGGGCTCACGATCGCGCGTTCCCTCCATAGCTAAAGAAACCCTAAACAGCGTTAACTCGGAATAGATAAAATATTGATAAGATATAATTATGTTTTAAACTACGTTTAGGGTTTAGACAGCAATGGAGTGGGAGAACCCCGACACGCCCATCCTTCCCTCGCATTACATCATCGTGGGCGGTAAGAAAACGATGGAATTTTCTGGCCGTGAGCTAGCGCCTGCATTTCATTGTGTCACAGGAAAGCGATTCGTGCTACCGTATTATTTCGAGTTCATTGCTCATGTAAGTGGTTTCTATCTATCTTTTTTTTCTGGCTCCCAGTTCATTGCGCTTGTAAGTGGTTTGGAAAGAAAACCTTCTCTCCTTTTTTTGTTTCTCCGATTTCGAAAGAAAAACTTGATTTTGATCTCTCTTTTTCTCGTTGCTCAGGTGAAGCAGCGATGGTCTGGAAAGACAATCGTGGACATGTTTGCCGACGAATTCAGGCAAAGGCCGTATGAGTATTATGTGAGTTTTTCCTTGGAAAGCAAAGATCAAACCTGGCATTGTTCTTGCAGGTTGATGCTGTTCGATCAGGCCGGATTTTGTTAGAGGATAAAAAATGTGAGAGTGAATATAGAGTTCGAACGACACAGAAACTGAGCCACTTTGTTCACAGGTGCTTCACATCACTTCTAAAGTCCTTCCATTGATTTCTAGTCTGCTTTCCCATTTTGATAGCCAGGCATGAGCCACCGGTTCTGGCCGAGAGTATTGTAATTCTCCACGAGGGACCCGAAGTTCTCACAGTATGCAAGCCAGCATCTATACCAGTGAGTGCCAAAAAATTCTACTACTTGCAAGGAAGAAAACTTTGAACACCACTATTGTTCTTCAGGTCCATACTTGCGGGCAGTACCGCAAGAACACTGTGCTTGGCATCCTGCAAGCAGAGCACAACACCGGACCTTTATTCCGTAAACTAGCTCTTTTCATGCTATTTTTCTTTCAACTCGTTTATTTTCTATCAGCTGTTCACAGGCTCGATCGTCTTGTTTCTGGGCTTCTTATTTTCGCCAAAAGCGCTGTGAAAGCGGACAAGTTTCGGCAGGACGTAAGCTTCCTTCGCTTTTTAAATTTTGCTATACGTCTTTGTGTGATGCTTGCAGATCGAGAATGGTAGAGTTCGCAAAGTATACGTTGCTAAAGTAACTGGCGTGTTTCCAGAAGAAGAGGTAAAAAACCGCTCTCGATGACGCTCTTGTAAGATTTTTCTCAGGTGGTGGTGAATGCTGCTGTTCATTACGATGCACGGGAAGGGAGGAGCACTGTGGAGGTAAACATCACAATTGTTAGCAGTTGCTTACTGCAGCTCTCACGTTTTTCAGGTTTGCGAAGAACAGGATAGCAAAGGGAAAGAAGCTTGTACGAGGTTTGTGCGTCTAAGCACGGATGGAGTGTCCAGCATCGTTGAATGCAAACCTCTGACAGGAAGAACTCACCAGGCAAGAAACTTAGTCTCTTGATTCGTTTGCTAAGCTTTTTCCTCTCACATTCTAGATACGCGTCCATTTGCAGCACTTAAAACACCCCATCGCCAACGACGATCTTTACCTTCATGAAAATCCTCCAAAACGCTCTAAAAGGGGTGGAACAGCAGACTCGGCAGCAAGGAGTGGCATGAGCCGCCAGCAACAGGCACAAGGTAAACAAACAAGCTCTTATCACTTCATTCTCTTCTTTCTTTCGAATGACACCTTTCTGTTGATCAGATTCCAGGAAGGTCGACGATGATCGAGAAGAACCAAGTTTTGAGACGGATCCACTGTGTACGCATTGTCCACGCTTGGGACCGTCGGGCTATGACGACGACTCCGACGGGCTATGGCTGCATTGTGTGCAATATTCTTGCGAGGAGTGGTCGTTTGAGTGCCCCCTTCCTGCATGGGCTAGCTAAACTCTTCCTAGACTTTACCAAATGACTGGAATGGATACAAACTTCAAGTCTTATGTTGGTGTCAACTTAAGATATCCATGTCGTTGACTGTACCTCTCCTTGCCGTTGACTATGCCGGCTCGCCGTTGACTGTTCTGGTCAAACAAACCAGACTAATTTCTAGAACCAAAGGGAAATAAAAACACTGTCAGCAAACAAAAACATAGCCAATACAAAACACTGATATTCTCTATAGTTGGTGGCAATTATGTAATGGTGTCAATGCGGGAGTCATGGTCGGAGAATCTAAAAGCTGAACTTGGAGTGATCCTGCGCATGAGCGGCGGCGTCGTGGGATCGTTGTCACTGTCGCTTGCCCAAGCTTTTTGATTAAATGGCATAGTTTGGATCATAGGTCTTAAGTGATTCCAACATATAGTTACACTCCCTCGATGTGAGTGCGGCCTGTGAAACGCCTGAGGCTCTCAGTCCGAGGCATGCTCTTGAGAACAGCATAAACTTCAGGCACAACTTCCTGGCATCGCACAAGCCGTGGCACTTCACTCCTCCCCGTGATCCGCAGCGGATCTTCGCGAGTCCTCTCCCACAGAGCTCCGAGACGCGATGCCCATCCACCACAAGCGGCACGCCTTCCCGCCATGGAGAACCATCCCTTCCGCAGATCTCTTCCCCAGCGGCTTGGTGACAAGGCCCACAACAGGTACATGCCGAGATTGGAGTTGTTTAAAAATTGCATCAGCCGGGAGTCGAACCCGGGTCTATTGCTTGGAAGGCAATTATCCTAACCGTTGGACTACTGATGCTTAGAGATGTTTGAAATTCGGAGCGATTTCTTTTACAGAGAAGAGGAGAAGAATGGTTCTGGGAATTCGAGAGAGCAGCACACAGCCAGATCGGAAGAGCGGAAATGGCAGCAGCTGTTGGACTATCCAGCAAAGTGGTCAGAGATCATCCAAGGTAAGCTAACACGACTCTTTTTCCGTGTAGAAATCTCCCAAGGATCCAGATTTCGTCCACGTCTTCACGTGGGAAGGCCTGTGGATTGATTCCTGCGGCTGCCCGAGCTGGGTGCCAATCAAGCTCGAGGCTCTCGGCACCAAAGATAGCTCTAACGTTCTTCCATCAGACCAAGAAACGCTCGAACTCTACTCAAGAATGCGAGAAAAAGGATCAGCTCCAGGCATTTCTTTGATCCCCGCAGCGCTCAAGGCTTGCAGCACTCTCAAGCAGCTAGAGATCGGCACGGAGATCCACTTTCGCTTGGACAGTGACGAAGCATCGCACGATTTCGTGGCTCTCGTCCATATGTACTCGGTATGTGGAAGCTTGCAAAGCGCTCGGAGTCTTGAAGGTATCAGCCAAGAGTTTTGTGATGTGACTCACATCAAGCTAGTAAATGTTGTAGGTAAAAACTAATTCTCTTCTTGCATTGTTCTAACGGTTTACTTGCAAGAGCGATAGGTTGCACACACTTTAAGATTACACAATCAAACTCTCCAAACATCATAGATTACTTTGACAGGAAGCAGCGTTATAGCATTATTCTCCAAGAAATCTCTGATGTGTTCCTAATTATCTACTATAGCTGGCCAGGTCAAATTGCTTGTGTTGTTTTTTCAGGGATCAAACTAAACTTACTGTTTCCATGTAGTGATCATGACATTTGAGTATGGACTATTCTACAACTTGCTTGGTGTTGCAAGAGCCAGAAATTAATGTGAATCAAGCCTTACTTAGTATCATTGAAAAAAAGCCATTCTCCTTTGGTGAAGCAATTATATAATCAATGATGGTAGAAAGTCCAAATTGCCCATAGGATCTCTGGCTTAGTCAAGTCAAGGAAATATGGAGAGAGTGAGTGACATGGTAGAAAAACAACACACTTGTGTTGAGCATAAAGAAGGTCAACTTTATCAAGAGCTGAGCAAACAATTTACATACCCGAGTGATATATATTGTTAAGGACCTAAACATATTGGGACACCCACCTAAGATCCCAGCCAAATTTCTGGATGCACTTCAGGCCAAAACATTGTCAAGAAGGGTACACTATGATTGTATAATGCAATTTTGAAAATATCCAAATTTCCCTGTTACACTGAGTTGATGCATTTACAAGCTCACATAAAACCACCAACCACCATGGCTATATCTCTTTTGAAATAAAAAAGATTTAGTCAAATTTCGTTCAAAAGAAGTTTAGATTGAGAGGTTTTTAGATGGACATTGTACACAATCAACAACAGAGCAAGTTTGAATGGAACTGCCAGAAATGCCATGCTCAACTTGACTGTTAGACATGGCTCCAACTGTCAATGGCAGAATTCTAAGGTGGGGATCATAACATAGTGAATTCTAAGCATAGCGATCTTTAACCAATCATCATTCCTATTACCATTACATGTTTTTTAAAGGTCATCTGACACCCAACTGGAAGCATTAGACTACAATACAATGGATGCAAATTGATTTCTTTATCACTCTTGGTCCCTCTATGCTTTACTTGAACAGAATACTACAAACAACATAATTTCTTGTAGCTTTGTGTGTTACCCTTTAAAATTGAATATTTAATAAGTAAATACTTTCAAATGCCCTAGCACCAGCGATAGGTTCTCCAAAATAGTGGAGGATTGAAGACTTGCGGTTCCATTAATCATGTTAAGCTCTCTTGACGAGGTCATGTATTGTAGTACATCACAATGAAAAGGATGCTCTGGCATGGAATTGAAGGGAGTTCGACATTCTTCCAAGTTATCTAGCTTTTGGGCCCTGGTAGCTTGTTGAGGCATGCTTATAAAAAGCCTCAATGCCTCTCTGGACACCTACTGGAGTTCCACATCAATAGCTCCCACTTTGGCATTCTTTCAGAGATTGTTTTGGCCTCCACGTGCCCAGAGTAGGCTTTGTGGTACCAACTGGAATAGCCCTTGGTACCAATTGGAATCAGCGACCAATGTGATAGAAGAGATGCCTCAATATGTTTTCTATGTGGGCATTCCACACACGTAGAAATTCACACTTTGGACATATGCCATCAGCATACTCGACTGCTGCGCCCCCAGTCAAATTTCCTGGTGGCCGCGGCCTCCAACTCTCACTATTGCCCTGGCACAGATCTAGCATCCTCAAGGGCGTCAAGAATCCAGTGCAACTGGAATTGCTCAAGGTGTCTTCTTTTGGCTTATGAGCGATTTTAGTATTCTTTTGGATGAATGATGGATCTTTGAGCTCTCAAATCTCCATGCCAAGTCTAGAGAAAATGATAATGCAGATATGATTTTCTTATACATTATGGGATGTTATCTCTTGTAACATTATAAACGTAATATTGTTTGTTTGAAAAAGCCAAGTAGGTAAATCGACCAAGAAAATCAAATTTCTTTTAATTGATGTGTATGCTCTGGAATGTGATGTCGATGACCTCATTCTTGTAGCATAAGCCAACAATAGGAATCTGAGAGGATATATTGGAGTGGAATGCCTTTGGAACATCTAGTGGAACCAATTGTGTGGGGTGGAATACCTTTCTGTCTGCATACGCTCAGAATTGTCAAGTGTTTGAAATGTTTCCATTGTATTACAATATAGATTGTACATGCTTTGTGTCTGCTATAATCATGTTGTCCCTAAAAGAGTACTAAAAGAAACAAGTAAAGTTTTGTAACACTAAGCTTAGCTTCCATTCCCCAAAACAAGGTGGACTCATAGCTTTCCTGCGAGCATCCTCTGATCCAGAAGCAGGAGGAAAGGTACCTGCACTGCAAGACATCTCTATTTGGATTTGAGTAGCAATGCCTTCCGACCTGACAGATACCAGCTTCATCACCCAGGTCAAAGTAGCTTGTGAAGCCCAGGTGTTCTTCATGTGCCTTCAAAGATCAGGAGCTCACTCATTATGAGGACACAAATATGCGTAAACTTCATATACCTCGCACGCAGCATGGAAGGAATCTCCTCTCGGCATCTCTCTGGCTTCTTGGACTCTTTCAATGCTAGTGTAGCCAGCTGCAGCTTAACCGCAAGCCTCTTCCTGCCCCATGGCTTGCAATCTATGGACGGATCGCCCTCTACCACAGTAACGTTGGGAGGTAGCCCTCCTCGAAGTAGTTGAGAAATTTTAAATTTTGTTGTTCCAATTGGTGGTGAGCAAGTGAGAGGCTCCTTTTTGGCCTGCTTGATCACTACCTCATTGAAGGAGCTTTCTTGCGAATGGGAAATGTTTATGAAGGAGTCCTATAGAAGAATGTAGCCTGACTACAAAAAGGCAGCTGCACAAATGCTGCTCTATGCTTTGGATTCAGCTCATCGGCTGGGGCGATGCTTCTTCTTCTAGGAGAAAATATGGATTCAAGAACATGAAAAGAGGACTTTCCACAGTGATACCTCAAATAATCGATGCGTGTAGTGGTTCCGAAGCCAATTATTAATCCAAGCCCACAGACGTGGGGGATTGGCTTCATGCCTTAGATTGCCCAGAATATCTATGATCGTGCTCCATTAAATAGCCGCCCGAAGAATCGCTTATGCTTTTTAACCAAGAAGTTCCATAATTCAATCTCGGCCGTTGGATCTCAGTATGCGAATAGGATCGATGTAAGTCAGGGTGCACATTTCCCAAATTTCCAGCCCTGCACTCGATCACTTGTTCAGGGCAACGCCTCCATGTAAGTTGGATTAGTTGAACTGACTAGAACTTTACTTGTGGGTTTTTCAAATAACTTGGGATACGCCATGTGAAATGGTGGTAGACATGAGGATGGAGAGAGAGGACTTGGAAAACAACATAAAAGACGTGACAAAGAACTTGGAAAGGTTGGAGAAGGCTTTAACGGAACTGAAAGCCAACTACACAAGGGGCTCTAAGCAAATGCTTTCTATTTTCACAGAGGTAGTTACAAAGATCAATTTCATCCCTCTTCTTCAGCAGCTTCTACCACAATACAGGTAAAAAAGCTAACTACCTTCTTCTAGTCTTTTTAACTGTTAGATATGTGGGGTGTATATATGCACGTCAGGCTGGCGTAAAATATCTGATGCTCTCGCCTTTATTAAAGTTATGAAGTCGGGTGCTTTGCATGCTGCATTTTTTGTTCTTCCGACTTTTTGAATCACCTTTGCCACCTTTTTTTTGTGATGAATCCCGGGGTTTCATTCCCTGCGATTTCACATCTGGCCACCTGTGGACGATTGTTCTTATAGTTCTGGCTGTGATGGTCGCTAGGCTCAGGGTTCCTCCCACCCAATGCATGTTGCCTTAATCCCCGACTTCCTGTTTCTTTGCATAGTTCGTAAGAGATTCTTTTTCTCCATGTTGGGCGTCACGCTTGCTTTGACGTCAATAGTGTCTGATGAAACCATCTTTGTCCATGGTCTAGAGTCTACCAAACGATCCTAAAATTTGGAAAATTACTTGGCAGCGAAATAAGATGCCTCTAAATTTACCAGTAGCAAGCACCATTCTCTAAGTGATGAAACTTCGTCGAATCATGCAAAATAATCTTCCTCTTTGAGATCCTGGAAATGTTGGAAGCCATGTGACAATCTGAACAAACTCTGGTGTTCTTCATTACCTGGATGGTAATGTGTGGAAGAACCCAAATGAAAAAATAAAAGAACATTTTCTATTACAAAAGAATAGTGCTGTACAAAAGAATGTAAGTACATGGAAGCTCTCAAAACTGGCCACAGTCCGCGGGAGTCGTCGGAAACCTCTTGCTGTCGGTGCAGTAGTCGTAGATCATGTAGTTGTCCTTGACCCACTTGAGCTTGCTCTTGGTCTCCTCGTCGGTGCTCTGGAATGCCTCTTGCTCCCACCAGTTGCCCTTGGGAGCGCTGCACGACTCCACACCCCCGGCGCAAGCATCCACGCTGAATCCCTTGTACGCCGCCACGAATGGAGCGTGATCCCAGTTGATCTTCTCCAGCCCGCCGCGAGTAGCCCAGTCGTCTCCGTTCCACAGGCTCGAGTAGACCCCCATTGGCTGGCTCTTTGGGAATGGGATCCCGATGGCTTCGTTGTTCTTGTGGACACGCAGAGGGACATCGTCCACGTAGAATCTGAGGGACCAAAACCACAGTTTGAGCGATTATCGAAAAGTGTTCGCAAAAAACATACATGATCTGCTGCTTGTTCCAGAGGACGGAGTAGCTGTGGAAGTCCTGAGTGGGGTCGAACCAGAGGTAGTGTCGCTGCTCCCGGTTTCCAACGCCATTGGCGAAAACGTTGGTCTGGACGATGTATGGCTGCCCGGAAACGTTCCCCAAGAACTCAAAGTCGATCTCATCGTGCTTGTCTGTCTCCGAGGACATGTAGAATGCCGTCACAGTTCCAGCAGAGTCTTTGGGAACCAGCTTGATCTTCATGCTGATATGACCGAACAAGTATTTGCTGCGGGACCCAAATCCAGCACCTATCATGCAACAGGACTTGATCAGCAAAAGAAAAGCTTGAGACAGGGATTGTTACCTGAAGCCTTGTCGAGAACAAGCTGCATTTCGCTGCCACCGTTGAGCACTCGCGTATGATCATTAGCCCATCGGACATAGTAGTTCTCAGAGAAAGAAACATCTGACTTTGGTGGGAGACGAGCAGAGAGTGCAAGCTCGACCAACAACAGCAATGCAATGACTTTGAGAGCACCCATTGCTCGATCGAAACTCCTGGCAGGAACAGAAGACTTGTATGATCGAAGGCTTGGGATGAAGCTTCGAATACTGGGGATGGAGTTTGCAATGGTTGCCACTGGAGTGGTGATGGAGATTTATAGATGTTGCCATTGCCGCGGAATAAACGCGTGATAGGAAGAAGGATGAGTTGGAGGCTTACTAAGATCCAGCTCAAGAAAGAGTAAAGTCGCCATATTTTGTTCATAGGAGGAAGCTTCTGCGCGAGTGAGGCTCCAATGGCAAGAGAGGATTGGCTGTGTGGCAAGAAGTTTCTCGTGAGAAAAACTGAGCTCGTTGCCTATCTGTAATCCAACACAGCAAAGCAAGACGAAATTCAAAACCAATAAACGTGTTGATGCTGATCGTCTCTACCTCGTAAGTAACTCACTTTCAAGGAGTTTAGTTTTCCCGTGTCTGGCATTACAAGTGTGGTGTTTTGTCCCTTGCCACTACCTAAAGACGTGCCGCGGGAAGTATAATCTGTTGAAAGCACAGAAAAAAAGAAACAGGCAAAGAGAACAGATGGGAAAAAGAAACAGCGCTGTCACGCACGCGTTTTGTGGACGACATTTCTACCAATCGGGGCCGAGTGTCAAAACGATTTAGAAAAGCTGTTGTCAGAGCCGTTGCAATCTTCGCACCAACGAGTGCATTATTCTTCACGAGCTGGATATCTGTCAATTGTAGCAAAGAAAAACTACCAAACAAAAGGATACTTGCAGCCAATGAATCGCCTCCAGTGAGCTCGTTGACGCGCTTGAGAAAGAATGGCGTCACAGAATTACCAGCCATACCTCTGCTCTTATAAAGAAAAAACACGTAGGAATACCAAGAGCGAAGTCACTGAGACGTACTCTGCTTCATGCAATGCCGATTGTATGGCCGATTTACGTTCTTAGTTGCCGCTGCATGCTCTGCGGGTATTGGAACCCCGATCAAAATGCCTGAACCCAATCCAAACTTCGTATTTGCCTCTAGTTAGAATCGATAACCACGTTGGCTAGAGCTTACCTATGATGTCTGCGCATTCCTCCACGCTGTCTGCTCGGCAAGGTGCTTTGCAGCCACTGTTAGGAGTAAAAATTCTGGAAATTCGTCAGTTGAGTAGCTAACAACTGTCACTCCTTGAGTTTCCTGCAAATTGTTTCATATTAAAACACCCTTTCAAACAAAGTTGAAGACACAAAAGTATGACATAAGAAAGAACATTGGGCTTACTTGACGCCCTGTCGATGAACTCCTCCCATACCTCCAGTTACGAATACTTTGAATTCCCCAAAGGCTCCTCTTTTTTCCAATGTAGAAACTACCTTTGAAGCAAAAAACATTGTTGCTGAAACAGTGGTTGCTCCGTTTCCTCCACGAGCGAGCTGCGTAGAAAAACACTAACTGTGGAGAACAAGAGAAAAAAGAGCTTACGACATAAGGAATGTCGTGGCTGGCCGTCTTTGAAACCGTGGTACCAAGCCGTTCAAGCTCAGCCAAGCTCAAGCCTATGCATGTGCAAAAAAAAAACAAAAAGCATACCAATGCACGGAACATCGTCTTAAATGGCTATGGTTCGCTCTCACAATGAACTCCACCTCTTGAGCTGTATGGAATTTTTAGGGTAAGGCAACAAGCAAGAAAATCACTCGAATGGAAGTCGGAAGAAATAAAGAGCGCGATATAATGGTGGATTCCAGCGCAACAATGGAAAGAGCAGAAATTGTAAAGCCCTAAACCAGTTTTCGCAATGAACAAGCTCAGAAGAAAAGGTGACTTCTGTGGCCTTTAAAGTTAAAAGCGGAAGGCTATCCTCTAGGGTTTGGCATTTTCTTGCAACAGAGAAAAGGGAGATGGAGATGAACCCAAAGACGATGGAGATATTGTTCCCCAATCTGCTAGACAAGTACCAGGTAACAAAGACTATAGGAATGGGTGGATTCTCGAGGGTGTTTGAGGTGATCCGTTTGAGAGATGGGAAACACTTTGCGTGCAAGACGAACAGCATGATGGGCGACGATAAACTACTGCAAGAGCTCAAGATCATGGCCCAACTGAGGCACGACCCAGGCGTGGTTCGTCTCGTCGCCATTGTGCGTGACTTGGGTTTCTGCCATATCATAATGGAGCTGTGCGAAGGAACACTCCTCTCGAGGCTTCCCTTGGGCGAGGACGAGGCGGCGCTTGTGGTGGCGAAGGTGGCGGGGACGTTGCAGCGGATGCACGCCCTAGGGATGGCTCACAACGACATAAAACCGGGAAACATTCTAGTAGGCTTTGACGGTGAGGTAAAGGTGGCGGATTTTGGCCTCTCCTGGCAGAAGGGGCAAGGAAAGGGGCCGTTGATGCGCGGTGGAACTGCGCGGTACATGCCCCCCGGGGAAAGGTTCAAAGAATCTTGTGATATTTGGGCGTTGGGCGTGACGTTGTACGAGATGCTCACGGGAAAGATTGCATATGAGGAGCTTCAAACACCTCAAGTTCTCAGCGAGTTGGAGCGATATGAAGATTTGCCCCTTATTCTCTTCGACTGGACGAGGGTTCCGGTGTTAGCCAAGGATTTGATGCTGGGGATGCTAAATCTGGACAAGAAAAAACGATTGACGGCAGCCCAGATCTTGGAACATCCGTGGATCAAGCGGATCACTCAAAAATACAATAGGCCAGCCCCAGAAACAAAGGTGGAAGTCGAAGCGAAACAGGATGTGAGAACTGATTTGATAATGGGAGGACAAGCTTCCATGCCAATGTACTGACTGCGAGATTGTCCACAAGCAATTGGAGATACACGAAAAAGTTATTAGTGCCGTCATTTCACCTTTAGGTTTCCTTTTAAACCAATTAGCCCTAAAAATGATACTAGTGCCGGGAATATCCACTTTCATTTTTTTCACCCTTAAACACGAGCAAGATTTCTTGCGCGCCCGCTGCATGGCGGACGATGGGGAGGGGTTGCGATCCAGGCGGCTGCCCGTGCGGCGCCTCAAGGCGACGATCGTCCAGAAGGTGGAGATGAACCGGGTCACGATCATCCTCGCCGAGACTGGCTCAGGTTTGCCTCTTCTTTGCTCGGATTACCCCTCTTTTCGGAGCTTAGCAAGGGAATGTGGGTCTAGGAAAGAGCTCGCAAGTCCCGCAAATGCTGCTCGAGGAAGGGTTCGTCCCCATTCTGTGCACGCAGCCGAGAAGGTTTGCCGTGGTCGCCGTGTCCAAAATGGTGGCCGAGGAGCGAGGCTGCGAGCTTGGACAAGAAGTTGGATTTCACATTGGTCAGATGAATCGGACAAGTTCCAGGTAAATGCTCGAGCTTTTCGTCGTTCTGAAAGTTCTAGTCTTTCCTTGATGTTTAGTTCTTGGGAACTTTCTCCTCGAGTTCTTGGAGTTCTGTGGTTCTTTCTTTTGATCTTAGATGTTCTGTTCTTCCATTCCTAAGTCACGGCATTTTTCCAGCTCCAAAATCGTCTTCCAGACTGCCGGTGTTCTTCTAGAGGAGATCAAATCCAAAGGCGTGGCTGCTCTTTCTCACTACAAGGTGGTCATACTGGATGAAATCCACGAGGGGTCTGTGGAGTCAGAAATGGTTCTTTGTTGCGTCAAGATCTTGCTCTTTCGGAACAAGAACTCACGGTGGGCTTCTTTTTGTCTCTTTTGTTTCTGGATTCTCTTGCTAATGTGATTGCTGCTGCCATAGTCTGGTACTCATGTCTGAGCTTGGCGAAACAGCTGTCTCGAACTTGGCCTCGAAGATCCAGCAACATCTGTTCCAGTGCAGCGTGAAGTATCTCGACCAGGTTCTGTATATTTTATTTCACTCGCGTTTATTTTTATCTTTCTGTTAACAAACCTCAGTCAGGTCGTGCAACAACTTGGAAACAAGAAAGAGCACTTGTCTGTAATGAACTCGTTGGAGCAAAACCCCTCTCCCTTTAAGAACGGGACTGATATTGGGATGGAGATACAGCACCTGATTTTCGATCTTATCGCTCACATCCACAAAGATGAGCCTGATCGCAGGAAGGGAATTCTGGTCTTCCTGCCAACTTATCGTGCCTTGGAAGAGCAGTGGTCTCTCCTCACGCAACGGGCACTGGATGTGGAGATATTTGTGCTCCACAGTAGCATTGACATCGACCAATCTTTGGAAGCAATAGAGGCGTACCATTCAGTGAGGAAGGTCTTTTCTTTCCTTAATTCTCCGTCTTGTTTTTTCTGAATCCTTCTTTTCTTTCAGGTGATTCTTGCGACTGATGTCGCCGAGTCTTCAATTACAATACCGGGAGCATCGTTCGTCATCGACTCATGCCGCTGCCTAGAAGTGTTTTGGAACTCGAAAATGAAGAGAGACGGTCCCCGGATTGTCTGGGAGTTGAACTCACAGGTGAGAAGTTGTCTTTGTCCTCCAGCCAGACACCGTATCTTTCTCCTTTCAACTGTAGGCCGAACAACGTAAGGGACGCACAGGGCGTACCTGCGATGGTACTGTCTTTCGCATGATGCCCCGAACAATGTACGCGACATACAACAAGTTTGAGGTTCCCGCAATGCAGCTCTTGTCTCTACGAAAGCAAGTACTGTCACTGTTTTGTGCTGAAGCACGAGCTTTGAATGATGCATTGGGTACGTCTCTTCGTTTTCTGAATCGGAAATTTTGTGTTTTGTTTTTCCAGCATTCTTCGATAAATGCATGAATCCACCGCATCCAGACACTGTTTATGATGCTTTGGAGTCACTTGAAGCACTGAACGCTCTACAGCGCGATGCTGGAGGGAAGAAGTTGCCGACTCCATACGGACGAATACTTGCGTCTCTTCCACTATCTTTGGAGGCTTCTATGCTTGTCATGGAGGGCTGCGAACGCGGGTACCTGAATGAGTGTGCTGTCATAGCTTCTGTGCTAGATACTACGCCGAGTCCGATTATCCTGCCTTTCGGAGCTAGCGCTACAGCACACTATTCTTTTCAGTACTTCCAGGAATCACAAAATGGTATCAGGCAATCTCGTCAAGCTGCTCTTCTTGGCAACCTCTGCGCGTTTGAATTCTGGCAGTGCGTCTTGAAGGTACGACTTCGTTTGTTTGTTTCTTTTCCCTGTCTCTCCTTGATGTTTTTCACACAGGACAACTATCGATGGCAAAAGGTATCGCACGAGTTTTTATCCTGAACGATCGTCACCATTCATGGAGAGGAGTCGGAGAAGGAATTCTGCAAACAGCATCACCTTTCTTTGTTTTCACTCAACGCTGTCGCTGAGCTCTGTAAGTCTTTCGAGTTTTAGAACCAAACTTGATGCTTGCTTGTTTTTGAGGCAGCTAGTTCCGTGCTAGAAGTTATGCATCGGTGGAGACCATGGTCAATAAAGCTTCTAACAGGACCGCCATCTTATTATACGGCTTTCTCCTTCCAGCACCTCTGCTTCCATAGCCAAGACGACGACTCGTGCCTGGGACTTCCGTATGTTTCAAATGGGAGCTTCCACAACGAGAATAACCAGTCAGATTTGCTGAAGATCATTGTGGAGGTAACTTGTTTCAACTCGTGCTTATGTTTTCCAGCACTTACGATCCACTGTTTCAGACTCAAGCAAGATACTTAGAACCGCAGAGTAATTACAAGTCGATCCATTTTCCTAAAGAAGAGGACGGGGAAGTGCAGTGCGTGTACTTCCGTAGAGGCTTTTGCGCTAAAGGAAACTGCTGTGAGTTCTCACACTCCGTCTCTTCCACGCCAGCAGTATGCAAGTTTTTCTTGTCCGGGGATGTAAGTGTCAGCTTTTTAACTCGCATTATTCTCAAGCGATTGTATGCCAGGGATGTCGCTATGGTGCTCATTGTCGATATAAGCACGACTCGGATGTTCCACGCTGGGACAATCGTCTTGAGTTTGACGAAGACGTAGCTCAGTTTCCTACGGTGCTGTGTTCTTCCACTCGAAACTTGGAGGGCACCATGCTAGTTTTTGGAAGGGAGGCACTGTCTTATATCCATCAGCTGCAAGATCTTCCTACTGCATCCATCGCGGTAGCTTGCAACGAAGATTCTCAGCTAGAAGCAGAGAAGTATGATCCATCTCTCTCCAACGTGAACCTGGACTTGCCTTCGAGAATCCAGATCCTTTTGGGGGGGGGGGGGTCAGCGCATCGTCTTTGGTTACTTCCTCCGCAGAAGAAGCGAGAGAGCTCCCAGACTGGACGAAAGTCAAGTGCATCGTCTGGAACTTTCCACTCAGGAGCATCAGCGATTCAGATCAACACAAGGCGTTCTTCCAGGAGATTTTCCACTTCTTGGCAGTGACGCAGCGCAAGCTCAACTTATTCCACAGTGGACTTGTGGTGCTTCTCACCATGACCAACATCGAATTTTGGCAGTGCCAGGTACTGATCTCGTTCACGATTTTCGAGTGATGTTAAGCTTGTTCTTCTTTGGCTCTCACAGGTAGAACGAGCTGGTCGAGAGAATTTCCTCTTCCTCCAGTCCTCCACGGCAGTGGATCCAGCGTTTTTCAAGGGGAGCTCTATCCGACCGCCAGTAAAGCTCGTCACTTACATCTTCAAGCTCGTGTTTCCCCGGAGGTTTCTTTGACGAGGTAATCTTCGTTTTGTTCCCGCCCGGAATTTTATCTACACCGTCGGATCTATTTCAAATTTTTGCCTGCCCGCTGTTGAGCATTTGGCAGTGAAGTGCTTGAAAGGTGATAAGGATAGTTCTGGAAATTACATGGTCCCAGACGTGCCACAAACGGCAGAAATCGACTTACATATCCACCTTGTTGCAGAAAATCAAGACCGGTTTGAAATTCTTTTTGTGAGATTTGTTTTTTCTTTTATAGACCTATGCATTGTGTTCTCGTCGAAATATCAAAGAGCTATGAGCTGGAGAAAAATTCGAAGTGTTACAGTTTCCATATGTATGTATTTTAGAGTTTGTAAACTTTCATTATTTTTCTCATTTTGATTTTTCAGCTTTGATGGAAGTTCAAAGCTTCGATCAAGTTAGAGCGACGCATGCATGCATTAAATCAAAACAAACTGGAGTTACAAGTTGAAGCTGCAATTTTAGCATCATTATCATTCCAACGAAAGACTGACTCCGAGCTATCTGCTCTAATCAAGGCTGTGATGGAGTCAGATGCGAAGGCACACTTGGCCGCTCCTTTGTGGTCTTTATGCCAACGGGAGAAGAAATGACATGCTTTATAAAATTTTCTATTATTTTTGTGCCCTTTTTGCCAATTTTTAAAGCCAGCAAATTCTCAAGCTTGAAGCCAAGCCTATAGAATCTCAGAGACAAGCTAGGCTAGATCTAAGATAACGTACGGTGGAGTCAAGCACTTCATGTTTGTGGACGTAACGTTGTGATCCAGGAACTGCTTCACGTCCTCCATGGTCGAGGTCATAGAAACCAGCAACACAAGCAGATGCTTCCACCGATCGAGAAAAGAAAAGAAAAGAACTCACGTACCTTGTTCTGGAGTGATATTTGGGAACATCGTATACGAACTGGACCGCAACGTTGACATCCGCATTGACATCATGGACTACATCTCGCCCGCCTCCGACGTTCGGCCGAGTTCGAATGGATCAAACCTTGACGTTTGCTCTGATTTGCTTGCTTGCATCGGGGGCCAGCGTGTAGTTTTGTGGCCGCTCAACCAGCTTCAGGTCGCCCATGGTTGCTCCAGGCACAGGTTCTGGAGCGTCTCCTTGGTCCGGTTGATCACCGTCACGTCCAGCAAAATGTCGTTCAAGAATACACGGGACCGCTGAAGCCTGTGAGCTGAAGCACCCGATTGAGCTTCTTGGTGTCGTTGCCGTCTTTGGTGAACTCTCCGGTACCTCGCTTCAGATCTGTCTGGACCTCATCCTCCAGCTCTAGTTGGCTCATGACCTGGAAGAAACGATACAGCGTTGTCAGCTAATTGACGTGCAAGAGAAGAACTAACCCTTCGGCTTTTCAGGTGGTAGAAACCAATGAGGTCGTCTGGCTGAGCACGAGCAACGCGCTGTAAACTCCCGCTGCGCTGAAAGAATGAGACCTGTGCCGCGTAACTCCGAGAGCGTGTCCCACTCGAGCCCGAGCTTCATGCACGCACTCCGGTTTGGGTCCTAGGCCAGCTTGAGGACAGCATACTCGCCAGTGCTAGCGACCACAGTGCTGTAAGTCGCCACAGAGTAGCGGTTCCACGATCTCGAGATCGAGGATGGAGCCCTGGTGGTGGCCACGAGCAAAAGGAACCCACGCTGCCCCTCGAGAATGGAGCATAGTACCCGCGAATCTGGAATGGCTGGTCGCTCCTCCCCGTCCTCCCAGACAAGCGCTGGACTTGATCGATAGCGATACCGACCAGCGCCAAGCGGTCCACGGCCAGAGGCCAAAGTGGCGAGCGAGCTCCCACCGCTTGCCGACGAGATCGAACGCAGCGATGAGCCCACCGCCTGCCTCGCAGTAGAAGAAGGGTGAAGGTCGCCATAGCCAACCGACATCCATGGCAACCCTAACCTAAACCGCGGGAGATTGGAGATATTTAAAAGTTGCATCAGCCAGGAGTCGAACCCGGGTCTATTGCTTGGAAGGCAATTATCCTAACCGTTGGACTACTGATGCTTAGACAGATGCTAGAAATTAGGGTTCTTATGAAATGGAGGGCATTACATCCTCGCTCCCTTCTTTCGGAGCGATTTCTTTCACAAAGAAGAAGAGGAGGAAGAATGGTCCTGGGAATTCGAGAGAGCAGCACACAGCCAGATCGGAAGAGCGCAAATGGCAGCAGCTGTTCGACGATCCAGCAAAGTGGTCGGACAATCGATCATCCAAGGTAAGCTAACACGCCATAGCCTGATAATTTGAAGGAACCACGCTAGAGAACTCTTTTTCCGTGTAGAAATCTCCCAAGGATCCAGATTTCGTCCACGTCTTCACGTGGGAAGGCCTGTGGATTGATTCCTGCGGCTGCCCGAGCTGGGTGCCAATCAAGCTCGAGTCTCTCGGCACCAAATATCGCTCCAGCGTTCTTCCATCAGACCAAGAAACGCTCAAACTCTACTCGAGAATGCGAGAACAAGGATCAGCTCCAGGCATTTCTTTGATCCTCGCAGCGCTCAAGGCTTGCAGCAATCTCAAGCAGCTGGAGATCGGCATGGAGATCCATTCTCGCTTGGACAGTGACGAAGCATCGAACGATTTCGTGGCCAGCGCTCTCGTCCATATGTACTCGGCGTGTGGAAGCTTGCAAAGCGCTCGCTCGGTGTTTGAGAAGATGGTGGCTCCAGACCTGGTGGCTTGGAACGCTATGATCAGAGGCTACGTTCAAGGTGGCGATGGCGATCGAGCTCTCGGCCTCTTCTCTCGGATGGAAACAACTGGGATCGAGCCGGATGGCCGGACTTTCGTAGCGGCCTTGAACGCCTGCGCCAGTGGTGCTGAGAAGGCTGGAAGTGTTGGATCGAGAGAAGAGCTTCTAGAGATCGGGAAGAGGATTCACGCTCGCGCTGCCAAGAAGAGGTTCGACTTGGAGGATATGTTCTTGGCGAGCAGTTTGGTCGACATGTACGCAAAGTGTGGAAGCATGGAAGAAGCTCGTCGGGTGTTCCAGAGAGTTGGAGCACAAAAGGCTGATGTTGCGTTGTGGACTGCTATGATCTTTGGTTACTCTCGGGCTGGCGACGCAAAGCTAGCTCTAGAGTTCTTCTGCAGGATGGAAAGTGAAGGTGGGATTCGACCGAATGCTCGGACCTTTGTTGCCGCGATCGCTGCTTGCACGGGTCTTGCAACGAGGAGATCAATCAGGCCGGAAGTTGACGACGATGATCATCGAGAACTTCTGGAGAAGGGACGATTGATTCACTCGCAGGTCGTAGAACTCGGACTGGAGCTGGACACATATGTTAGTAGCAGCCTGGTGGATTTCTACTCCAAGTGTGGGAGCATGATCGAGGCTCGAAGGGTTTTCGACAGGATTCCACTGGCAAAACGAGACGTCGTCTTGTGGACGAGCCTGGTTCTTGGATATGCACAGGGTGGCGAAGGAGAGATCGCTCTCGAGCTGTTCTCGCGCATGCAAAGTGCTGGTTTGAGACCGAATGCTCGAGCTTTCGTCGCTGCTCTCGCTGCCTGCTCGAGCTTAGCAGCAGAAAGACAAGAATCCAGTGGAAAAGTCTCCAAACTTTCGTGGCTTCTAGGGAGAACAATGGAACTCCACGCTCAAGCTGCGAGGACGAACGATCTAGAGGACGTTTTCGTTACCAGTTCGCTGCTCGATCTCTACTCCAAGTGCGGTGGAAGCAACCTGGAGAGAACAAACCGGGTTTTCGATCAGATGGCCTCTCACGACGTGGTTTCTTTCACGGCAGTGATCTCCGGCTATGCTCAGAGCCAAGCTCCAGATATGGCGCTCGCGTTTCTCTCGAGCATGAAACGCGAAGGCCACGCTCCAAATGCCTCGACTTACGCTGCTGCGATCAAAGCTTGCGCAAAGATGGCGGCCGTGGACGCCGGAAGAAAACTCTACTTGCAAGCTTGCAAGGCCGAGCTGGGAGAAGATAGTGCCGTGGCTTGCGCTGCGATCGACTTCTACGGCAAATGCGGCAGCATGGTCGCCGCAAAACAGGTTTTTGATTGCGTGACAAGAATTCCCAGCAACAAAAGTGATCCAGTGATTTGGAGCTCGCTCATCTCGGGTTATAGCCACAATGGCGATGCTCCAAGAGTGTTTGATCTCTTTGAAACAATGAGAAAGGAGCGTGTCAAACCGGATAGCATCACTTTTCTCTCGGTTCTAGCCGCGTGTAGCCACGCCGGGATCGTCGATCGAGGAAAGGAGCTGTTTTTATCGATGAGTTCTCCGGAGTATGGATTAAAACCAGCGATGGAGCACTACAACTGCGTGATTGACATGCTCGGACGAGCAAACCGGCTAGACGATGCCTTTCTCTTGGCAAAAACAATGCCGTGGAAGCCAAGTGTGGAGATCTGGACGACGCTGCTGGATGCCAGTCGAAAGTGGGGGAATTTGCGAGTGGGAAGAGCCGCGTTTCAAGCCATCAAGGGAATGGACGAGCGGAACAGCGCCAGCTACTTACTAATGGCCGAAACTTTGATAAGTTGCTAGAGTTTCTTCCGCGAAGTCTGGGAACTTCCGTACGACAAAGCTTAAAGTTTGATCGGTTGTTGGGCCACGAAATCGAGTGCTGGCCCGACCGTGCTTGGTGGTCTCGCGATTGAGACGGCACATTTGAGCAAACGAAGAATCAAAGCAATACAGCTGTGAGTTGGCTCTGCGATTTTGGAACGTTTAATCGTGTTAGCAATGTCAATCGATAATAGCGTGGAAAAAAAATGGCCTTGGGCGACAGTCCGGAAAAGGAAGAACGCAAGGAATAAAATTTTGGTTCAAGTATTTCTGTCAGATCTTTTCTCCGCTCTGTATTAAGCTAAGAACTTCACGTTCATATTGCGGTGTTCTTGCACTCTTGATTCCAGTCCAAATGAGCTTTTCGTTTATATGTCGAATACCTTAGACTCAATTTTCTTGTAGGGCCAGCCAAGTCGTAGAACGAGTCGCCATGCTGTTTGCGTTGAGAAAGAACATATCCGTCTGCGGTGGATGTTTCAGTAACTTTAGCTGATTGAATGTGGTATAACGGATGTCCTGGGCTGAGGTCTCCAGTAAGTAATCGTGGGCTCTGGCGAGGAGACGACGATTGTACCCCGTCGCTGCGGCTAGAGCAATCTCATGTGTGGGGAGAGAAGGCCGAACTCAAGCTGAATGTTTTTTGTCGCAGCCACTATGGTGATCTCGTTGTGACGAGCTCTCTGGTAGCTCTGATGCACTAAACAAGCATCAAAAAGTGTAAACACTGTAAGCTGGCTTTCGAGCCTCTATGTTCATGCAGGCAGAAGAGTGGCAGAAGACCGCTTCTGCAAATTGTTAATAGCTTACCAGAGAGGTTGGAGATTATGGAGATCACAAGCGTTCTTCTCTTTATCATTTATTTTATTTATTTTTAATTGTGAATAAAATAAGTAGATAATTTATTTTTTGACACAATAATTTCTTTCATGATCTTTAATACGAATTACTTTGATTTTTGCCAATTGTTATATTTTCATTCCGTTTAAGGGTAAGTTCTGAATTTTACGGGAGCTTCTTCAAAGTCCAGTTCTGGATTTGTGAACAAAGCTTGCGCAAAGATGGCGGCTGTGGACATCGGAAACTCGGAAACTTGCAAGGCCGAGCTGGGAGAAGACAGTGCCGTGGTTTTCCCTGCAATCGACTTTGACGGCAGATGTCAACGCCTAACAGGTCTTTTAGACTTTCCAGAGACAAAAGCGATCCAGTGACGGAGCTCGTTCACCTCGGGTTATAGCCACAATGTTCGATTTCCTTGGAACAATGACAAAGGAGCTTGTCAAGCCGCTCTTCTCTCCGCGTACTGGATCGTCGATCGAGGGAAGGAGCTGTTTTTTCTGAGGAAAAACGTGAGTTCTCCAGAGTATCCACTAAAACCAGCGATGGAGCATTACAACTGCGTGATTGACATGCTCGGACGAGCAAACCGGCTGGAGGATGCCTTTCTCTCGGCAAAAACAATACCGTGGCGTGAGAGATCTGGTCGACGCTGCTGGATCCCAGTAGAAAGTGGGGAATTTGCAAGTGGGAAGTGCCGCTTTCCAACCCATCAAAGAAATGGACAAGCGAAACAGCGCCAGCTACGTGCTCATGGCCGAAACTTTGAAAAGTTGTGAAAAGAGTTTCTTCGGCAAAGTTTGGGAACTTCCGTACGACAAAGTTTAAAGTTTGATCGGTTGTTGGGGTCACGAAATCGAGAGCTGGCCCAACCGTGCTTGGTGGACTCGCGATTTAGTCGACACATTTGAGCAAAAGAAAGTGTCAAGGCCTTTTTTTCACGCTATCATCCTGGCTGATGTCGATTTTGACATCGCTAACACGATTAAACATTCCAATCGCGTATGAAACCACAGCCAACTCACAGCTGTATCGCTTTGATTCTTCGTTTTTCTTTTGTTTTGGTCGAGTCAATATAAGTGGTACTCTTCTCGCCGGGAGAGAAAGAACGCCAGAGAAAAAATGGAGGTTTTGATTCAAGGATTGGTTTCGATTTGCTCGCCGGATCATGATCCGAAGAGGTTGCAAAGAAGAAAGCTGCGAAGGAGGGGCCAAATCAAGGCTGCAATCGTTGGCGACGTGATTTTTTCTCTCGTCTCTCTCTTCACCGAGATCAAATGCAAGCTCCAAAGTTCTGTGAGCTAAAGTCTAGCTAGCTTCTTTCTATTCTTTTCTTCAATCGCTCACTCAAGAGCAAAGCTCGACTTGAGCGAGAGATGATCCTGTCCACAAAATGGTTTTTACATTCACAAAACACGAAGTTCATATCAAGTTTTCTTTGTTCTTCACAAGCCCGGGTTTTATTTGCACCGAGCTCTCGACTCGTCCATCGCTGTTGCTGCTTACGACATAGCCAGTGCCGGAGTAGCCACTAAAAGGTCGTCCTCTTCGTCCAGCACAAGCGGCCTCCTCATCTTGTCTTGAATGGAAGTAATAAGCGACAGGATTTCGAGGTTGGCAGTAGACTCGGCCATCTTTTCGAGAGCAGCACCTCCTTCTCGCCTGTGAAGCACCTTGATCGCTAAATCTGTCCAAGAACAAGTAGCGCATTTGAGAGAGAGACCAAGGAAAAGTGTGAAAAGTACCGCATTGAGCAAGGGCGTTCATTGCTTTGAGAGCAGCGATGCGTGTTTTGTCATCGGTGGCCGACTCAAGCATTTCCAGGAGCAATCCGATGGCTCCGTATTTCACTGCTGCCTGCTTCCTTCCATCTAAGAAAGAAGCAAACACGCATGAATGTCAAGAGCTTGAATTTACAAGCGAGAACTTACCGGTAAGAGTGAGATAAATCAATCTGGAAGCACCACTTCGCTGGAAGAAGGGATCTTTCACTTTGAGCAAGAGCACCGGATGTTTCACAGTACCCTCGGCTAGAAAAACAAAGTTCCCGTTCGTTAAGAAGCTATGGAAGAACAACGCAAGTTTTTTTCACATACCAATTATTGGAATAGCGTTCATGCTCATGTATCCAAGAAAAGCCGCGGTCACAGAAACACGAAGCCATCCAGGCCTGGCGTTTGTTTCTCCAAATTCGTTCACTGGAGGAGGCTTAAACTCCGACGCTGTTGGAAAAGAGAAAATCCCCTCGATTATTCCAAGAGAAGAAAAAATGTAGGACGCTTACCAAGCTTGGGAACTGGAATCTTCGCTATGAGATTTCTATGCCAGCCCTGTCCCAGAAATTTAGGCGCTTCACTAGAGCTGGGTAAATCTCTACCTGGATCGCAGCTCCAAGCCGACAAATCGATCTCACAGCAGCCATGGCCCTCCCCCCTCCGCGCAAAAACCCTAGAGGGAGGAAATTTTTCTATTTTGTGCAAGATCGCAGCCGTTGGATAGCTACCAGTTGTGAGCCGTTGGATTGGCTAAAACATTCTCAGGGTTTAGACGATGCCCTAGTTCTAGGAAGTGCTGCTGCTGCGCTATGGCGGCAGGCGCGTCTCACAGGCTCCAGCTCCGCCGGGCGATTCGCGAGCTCCGCGACAGGGGACTCTACACAGCCGCGAAATGGTGCGTGTTCTAGCTCTCGATTCTCGATGTTTTTCCATTTTCTCGCGATCGCGTTTTCTTTGAGCGCTCGCTGCTGTGTTCTTCGCTATTGAACTAGCTCTGTTTAGCGGGCGTGAATAGGGCTGCCGAGCAACTGGTCGGGCTTCCGGAGGATCGTGAGAATGTAGGTCCAGCGCCAGTGCCCGACGAGGCGGAGGGCGGCGATGGAGACGTGTTTCTACTCGCAAAGGCATTCTTTGATATGCGGGAGTATCGAAGAGCAGCACACGCTTTGAGGGGTGCTACTGGCAAGAAATCTTTTTTTCTAAGGTGTTACGCGACTTACCTGGTAAGCTAGCTCCATTTTTTCGTTCTAGTAGAAAAACTCTAGTACGACTAGACTTTCTTCATTTTTGGTCTAGCGAGACTTAGTCGCTTTCATCTTTGCTTCTTCGATTTCAGGCCGGGGAGAAAAGGAAAGAAGAGGAGATTATTGAGCTGGGTGGTCCTTTGGGAAGGAGTGATGCTGTAAATCCCGAGCTAGCCGGATTAGAACAGGAGCTGACATCACACAGTGAAAAAGGAACTCTTGATGCGTTTGGAAACTATCTCTACGGGGTGGTCCTCCATGAAAGGGACCGAAAGTCGGAGGCTCGGGCCGTTCTCTGTGCATCCGTCAACACATATCCTTGGAACTGGAGCGCATGGCTGGAGCTCCAAGCTCTCTGCACAGACCCAGAGATCCTACCAACGTTGCGACTCGAGGACCACTGGATGCGTGACTTCTTCATAGCCAGCGTCTACTTGGATCTCCAGAAGAACTCCGAAGGCCTGGCGTGCTACCGCTCGCTCCACGCGATGTTTCCAGTCAGTGACTACGTTCTCGCGCAGACAGCCACAGCACACTACAACCTCCGAGAGTTTGACGAAGCCGAGGGGCTGTTCGAGGAACTCCTCCGGACGGACCCGTATCGCATCGAAGGCATGGACATGTACTCCAACATTCTCTACGTCAAAGAGTGCTTCGCAGCTCTGAGCCATCTTGCTCACAAGGCGGTGCTGACGGACAAGTATCGGCCTGAGACGTGCTGCATCATCGGGAACTACTACAGCTTGAAAGCCCAGCACGAGAAGGCGGTGCTCTACTTCAAGAGAGCTCTCAAGCTCAACCGGAAGTACTTATCAGCATGGACTCTCATGGGTCACGAGTACGTGGAAATGAAGAACACTCCGGCAGCCATCGACGCGTACCGCAGAGCTGTGGATATCAATCCCAGAGACTACCGCGCGTGGTATGGCCTGGGACAAACTTACGAGCTTCTCATCATGCCGTTCTACGCGCTCTACTACTACCGGCGTGCCGCGCAGCTCCGTCCTCATGACGCTCGGATGTGGTGTGCCATGGGACAGTGCTACGAGAACGAGCAGCTCCAGATGTTTGATGCCGCTATCCGGTGCTACCGCCGGGCCGTGAACAACAACGATCGCGAAGGCATAGCGCTCAACAAGCTTGCGAAGCTGCACAGCCAGCTTGGACAGGCGGACCAGGCCTCTTACTACTACAAGAAAAATCTCGAGAGGCTCGAGGCGGATCAAAGTGAAGGACAGGACGTGGTGGATGCGTTGCTCTTCCTGGCGACGCACTCCAAGAACCAGGGATTTCTAGACGACAGTGAGATGTACTGTATGAGACTCCTCGACTATGGCGGCCCGGTAAGTTCTCTCTTTGATACTTCTTCGTGTTGGTTCTAAGAGGAAGTTCTCGTTCTCCACAGGCTAAAGAGGAGGCCAAAGCTCTACTCCGGGAGATAAGAAGCGTCCAGCAGCATGCTTCGGTGCTACCATCGATGGATTTAGAGCAATTCACTCCATGAAAAGTACGTGTGATTGTTCAAGCCGTGACTAACATTCTCCTCAATTTTTTTCTAAATGGCCGAGGCTCGCCAGAAGGAACTCTTTTGTTGTAATACCAAAACCAGAAACACCATAAATGTAGGAAGATGAGATCCGACGGTGGTGCAAAGCCCACGCTCGCTGCTTGGGGCGGTTGGATGGCCTCGGATTAGCGGCAGCGATACTTACATTACGGTCGTTTGCGACGTCTTACCGCATATGCCCTTTGCCCGCGTGTGGTGATGCACGCCGTTGGATGGCGGGGCCTGGACGGCCTGGATTAGTTGGGGTTTCCGATGTATATTTAACAGGCCTCACAAGTTGCCCTGTTGTTGCGAATCCGCCAGGAAAGAAGGGAAAGCGGTGTGCGCGCGCCATCGCGAGCTGGGTCAGATCTGAGCTGCGGCGCTTTCGATCCACGACCTAAGGGACTGCTCCAGCCAGGGCGCCGCGAGATCCACAGGTCTTTTGCAGGGATTTCGGGGATTTTGGGGAGCTTGGAGCTGAGAAGAAGGCGGCAGCGGCAGCTATGAATCCCGAGTAGTAAGCGCACTCTTTCCATCCCCGGCGCTGCTGTTTTTTAGGGTTTAGATTCTGCAGTCATTGACCTCTCTCCTCCCTGGCGCCTGGCCTTTGCAGTGACTACCTCTTCAAACTCTTGCTAATTGGCGACTCCGGCGTGGGAAAATCGTGCCTGTTGCTGCGATTCGCGGTAAGCGGCTCTACATTTTGCATGCTGTGATTGAGATGAATTGATGAATTTTCTTGTTCTTTTGCTTGTTTGTAGGACGATTCTTACCTTGAGAGCTACATCAGCACTATCGGGGTGGATTTTGTAAGTATCACGCATTCGCTAGCCGTGCCAATCCTCTCGCTGACGGCTTGGCTTCCTTGCTACAGAAAATTCGCACAGTGGAGCTGGAAGGAAAGACCATCAAGCTCCAAATTGTAAGACAGTTGGAAAGGTTTTGTATAGTTCTAACTATTTCTTTTTCAATTGCGAACAACAGTGGGACACTGCTGGGCAAGAGCGCTTCCGGACCATCACCAGCAGTTACTATCGTGGCGCTCACGGGATAATCGTAAGCTGGCCTACAGTTTTTCCACACGATGGTAATTCCCTGACACGTTTGCTCGTTCGCGCAGGTCGTGTACGACGTGACCGACCAGGAAAGCTTTAACAACGTCAAGCAGTGGCTGAACGAGATCGATCGCTACGCGAGCGAGAATGTGAACAAGCTCCTCGTCGGTAACAAGGCCGATCTCACGGCCAAGAAGGTCGTCGACACCCAGACTGCCAAGGCAAGTTGTTTATTTTCTTCTGCTTTTCTATTCTTCCTTTTGCAAGACAAGATCTTAAAAGGCTTCTACTTCCAGGCTTTTGCAGACGAGATAGGAATCCCGTTCCTAGAAACCAGTGCCAAGAATGCGACCAACGTAGAGCAGGCATTCATGACCATGGCTGCGGAGATCAAGAACAGGTATGTAGAAAAGATCAAAGGGATCACGATCTAAGCGGAAGAATTCGTGATTGTTTCCAGGATGGCGAGCCAACCGGCGATGAACAGCAACAAGCCCAACAACGTCAGTCTCAACAAGGGGCAACCTCTCAACCAGAAGGGTGGCTGCTGCTAGGGAGGAAAAAATTTGCAACGAAGGAGAAAAGAAGGGAAAATTTACGTAGATTCGATGATCGGTGTCACATTTGTTGTTTCATTTTTTCTTTTTTCTTCCTCTCCTCCAGTGAATATTTTTTAGTACTTTTTTACCCTCTGTGCTTGACGATGACGGAATATACTTGACGGTTTTTCATGCCGAAACGAAAATTTGGTGGTTGGCCATTGTTCGCGATATGAGATGGAGGAATTGCGAGAGGAAGATAATGGACAGAAGCTCCTGGGTGATGATTCTATCACAGCGAGCACGCAGAGAACGATGATGGAAAGCTCGTGGTATGAATTCGTTGATCATCAAACTTCCTCCTCGATGGCGATGGATTCAAGCAAGGCAAAGGTCTTCTACAAGACCAAGCTGTGCAGTAAGTTCATAGCTGGGAGCTGCCCCTTCGAGGCGAGGTGTAACTTTGCTCACGGAGTGGAGGAGCTTCGCAGGCCAGCGGCTGATCTCGTCGCCGCAGGACCATCGTTTCCACTCGATCCAGCTGCTCAGAGCTTCAAGACCCGGCCCTGTAAGTTCTTCCGAGAAGGAAGCTGCCCCTACGCTGATCGCTGCACGTTTCTCCACGACGAGGCACCGTCGTCGTCATGTAGCAGCATCGATCACAGCTCCATCCGGCCACCGAACTGGAAGACCCGGATTTGCAACCAGTGGGAGAGCTCCGGCCGCTGCTCCTTCGGTGGTAAGTGCCACTTTGCTCATGGAGCTGGCGGTAAGTTGTTCTCTTTCCTCGCTTTCGTTGCTAAGTTCTTCCTTTGTTCTCCAGAGCTCCAAAAGGCTGATAACTTCCAGCACAAGCAGCTGGCCGAGGCTGCGATTTATGACTGTGGTTTTGCCTGGAGCTCCATCGATTCGTATGACTGGACGCCACAAGGCGATCAGCAGCTGGATTTCTACACACAGCAAAGTCAGTACTCGACTGATTGTCCATTCCAGTTTCCATACCTGAGGCCACAGTTATATGGCTATGGAGTTTATCCTGCTCTCCAAAATGGTTTCGTCGGGAATGGGAGTAGCTTCCAGGAACAGGACGATGGTCGTCGCTATGGAGACTTATAAACACTTAGAAAGCTTCCCGTTGTTTGCCATTGAAAGAACTGAAAAAGGAAAAACAAAACAGGACCTGGAAGTTCTTTGCTGTGATTGAGCTTGAACATTTCCATGAAGTTGGCCAGAGAAACGCTCTCCTTTCCTTTCAGGGGTAGTAATCTCTCCAGCGGTAGTAGTAAGAGCGTCGCTCCTTTGGCTTCATGAACTTGTTCCACTGGGAAGAACAAAAGAAAACAAGAAAATGAGAGATTTGAGAGAAGCACAAGAGGTCTTACCTTGAATTCGTAGCGCTCGCCCTTCTGCATTGCTTTCCTCCACTGGTGATGCTCGGCGCACATCGCGATGTCGTGAAAGCTGCGAAACGAATGAATCTGGAATGGAGAGAAGACGAAATGGCCACTCACTTGTACAGGAAATGCGACTGCTCCCAGTAGTATGGGAAGAACCAAGTGTAGACCGTGAATCCCACCGATGCCATGAAGATGTTCTCGAAATTCTCCTTCCCGGAATGCGGGACGCCAGGATCGCCGCGATACGCTGGACCGAAAATCTTATCCATCGCTCGAGCGCTCGCAAAGAACCCTAGAGCTCACTAGGGTTTATCCAAACATCTCCATAGCTTGGAAGGGAATTTTGGCCACCCGGCCCAGTGGCGTACGGCACATTTCCAACACGTGTACGCCAGTCCAGACTCCAGTGTCATGACGGCCGCCCGTCAGCACGTCAGAGGCCTCGACGGGCACATTGACGGGCGCCCTGCCGGGGATAATTCTCGGCCGCCTGAAAGTTCTTCTCTCCGCCAAAGCGATCGTGGAAATTTGGGAGCCACGAGCGGTGCGTATGCCGCTGCCCTGATCCTGCGCGATTTCTTTAAGCTCTCGCAATCCAGGCGAGGATTGGCGCAGGAGGAGCTCGCAAACAGGTAACGATCGTCTTGTTTTTTGGCCTCGATCGCCCCCGCGATGATCCTGGAGAGGATTCTCCCCTTCCCCTAGCGATATTACGGATTCTTTTCTCGGTTCTGGCGCTCGCGCGATGGATTCCTCCCAGTTTTTGGTCCTTTCTCCTCTAGGGTCGTCTTTGCCGCTTGAATAGTGCTGCGATGGCTGAATCTCTCCTCCTGGCTTCGCAGGGAATGCGATTGGAGGAAGAATGTATCAAAAGCCCGAAGCCGATGAGACTCTAGCTCCATCCAAGGAGGCATCTTTCATGGACCGGATGTATATGAAGATCGAGGCCATTTGCGTGGAGGCTGACAAGAACCCTTCGCTCCTTTTCCAGGTGAGAGGATTTTTCTCAAAGAGATAGGCTCTAGAGTAGTGGAGCTAGAGCTTTTTTTTTTCTTTCTTTCTTTCTCTCTCTTTCTAAGTCTAAGCGTTTGTTTCCAAGTCTAAGCTCCAAGCTCTGTTATGTTTTGCGATTCCAGGAGGCTGGGAAGTACTTCGAGACCCAGGTATCGACGGCTGGAGCAACCATGAGAAAGGTGTGCTCGGAGCTCATTCGTGACTTGCTTCCAGCCGAGGACGAGTGCAAGCACGTCGACAAGTGCCAGTGTAGATGCGAGGCGAGCAAGAAAAAAGCCGCTGTCAAGCAAGAGGATTCGCAAACACAGGCAGAAACAGGGGGAGTTTCGCAAGGTACGGAAAGCTTTCCAAGTTTTTTGGATTACTAGCTTGTGTGGCTAAATGGATTTGCTTTGTCAGGAGGTGATGCTCAGCTCCATCAAACGCATGGTCCCGAGATTGAAGAGCCCGAGATCGAAGAGCTCGCGGAGACCCAAGCCCAAACAACTTCTTCCGGATCACAGGTTCTCCAATCATTTGCTTCTCGTGTTTTTCATGTTTTCGATTGCTCCCAGGCCGAGGAGAGCGATACCGTGGTGGAAGCCGGCGACCAAGTTGCTCAGTGGTACATCACGGACGAGTACAAGAAAAGCTCTGGCATCGTGGAAAACTGGGACAGCAGCGCTACCGCCGTGACAAATCCCAAGGAAGAATCAGACTCGGAGTGGGAGATTTTATAGACAACGCCAAAACCAGCAAAAAAGAATGGAGGAGCGCTCTCGCTCTCTCGATCGATCCATTCCATCGCGGAAGAAAAATAAGAGAGACCACAGTGGTACGTTTTAGTAGCGAGCGGAGAAAGGAAGAACACGGCCTTGTTCTTGCGCAATCAATTACTTACACAGGGAAATAACGTGGTGGGGGAATATCCCATGGAATCGTCTTTATCAAGAAATGGAAGCAGAGTCTTAGGGCTCAGGGGTTCTCTTATTGGGGTATCTGGAGCGGGATTTTGGAGAGAATGTGAGCGCGCTCCTCGATTCGGCGGGAGAAGGAAGAGCTGTGGATCTCGCGGCGGCGGCGGCGGCGGCGATTCTTGGCGGAGATGGGCAACAATCTCGAGAAGGTATTCCGGGACGACGAGTATGAGGTGACGCTGCGCATCAAGAAGGTGGATCACGGCGGCCGCGGGCAGCAGGCGAATGGCGCCGCGAATGGGAATGCCGAGCAGACGCCCGCCGCGGAGGCAATGCCCAAGTACGCGGTGCCCAACGGCGACAGCAGGGCGCGCAAGAGCGCCGACGACCGGTCGATGCGAGCGCGCAAGATTTTGAAGGTGGGGGCGCTGGACGAGGCGAATTCGAGCGATAGCGAGCAGCAGCAGCCGCTGGAGGAAGGGGCGACGCCGCGGACGGGGCGCTACGCTGGGAGGAAGACTTCGTGTATGAAGTGGAGTAACTCCGGCCTGGACATGAGCGTGCTAAAGTCACACCTTTCTCCAAATTTCCATGTGGTAAGTCCTTCTTCCCTTTTGTGTTCTTGAGCTAGTTTCTTCCTTTTTCTTCTTGCTTCCTGCTTTGTTCCCCTGTGTGGTTTGTTTTTCTTCCTTTTCCCTTTCTGTGCTTTTTTTTTTCCTTCTTGCTGATATTTGTTCTTGATTCGAGGCTTGGAGCTTTCTCTAGTTTTAGCCTGTCCATCCATCCATGTCCGACTTGGAGTTTGCTCGAGCCTTCTTTCTCTCTGTGCTTGATTCGAAGCTTAGAGCTTTCTCTACCATCCATCCATGTCTGACTTGCTTGCTCTCGCAGACTGTGCCGCCAGAGTTCGTTGCGATGCACGGGAGCTTCTTCGACATCTCAAACGGCGTGCAGGGCAAGTCCCTAGAGATCGAGGAGATCACCAAGACGAGGTTCAAGTTTAAGAAGCAGCACTGGGCCCAGATCGTCCACGAGCACAATCTCCAGCTCAACGACACTGTGCACTTCGAGATGGAGGGCAAGTCCAAGCTCCGGATCGAAAAGGGTCACTCGCTCGCGCAGTACACTCCAGCGGAGCCATCAGCGTCTCCACCTCCCTACCCAAACACAGGTCCGTGTGCTCTCTTTGTCTTGTGCTCGGATCTGTTTGTCTGGTTTGCTCGGATCTGTTTGTTTGGTTTGCTCAGATCTCTTGTCTGGCTTGCTCGGATCTCTTGTCTGGTTTGCTGGATCTCTTGCTTCTCTCAGGTGTTCTAGAGCTAATGTTCTTGGCATTCCAGGACCTGGCGGCGCTGAGCTCTACTCGCCGGGAGTAACAGGTTTTGTACTTCGCTCTTGACTCACACGCTTGTTGCTAGCTCAGTTTCATGTCCAGATTCGGCAGGAGCAGCAACATCGGGAGCAGCAACACCAGCAGCAGCAGGAGTAGCAACAGCAACAGCAGCAGCAGCAGCAGCAGCAGCAGCCGGGCCTGAATCTTCCCCAGCAGAAGGCGTCGCGGCTTAAGATTAATTTCCGGTCATCTTGGTACTTTTTTTTCTTCGTTCTTCGTTTCCTTTTCATCTCTGGAGACACTGTTCCTACAGAAAATCACTTTCTTTGTAACCGAGGGCTCCATAGAGCATTGGTTTGTTGTATTGTTAAACTTCAAACATTATATAAGTGTTTGTATGAGGGACAAGTTGTGTGAGGGGTGGTTTTTAGGGTTCTTGGTGAGGTAGACGCATTGGTTTTTTCAACTAGGCTTTTTAGGTGGAGTTTGTATGGGAAATAGTCTCGATCGGGCGCTCGGCGCGGAGGAAGAGCTAGAGGTGAAAGCAAGCGTTGTGATTCGGAGGAAGAGCTTGACGAAGAAAGATGGAGGAGGCGAGCATGGCTGGAATTTGCGAGTGAAGAGTGTGGGCGACGGTGGTGGCGATCCCGACGCGAGCTATCGCCATCTCCAAGCGCAGCATCGAGAGGTAGACGAGGGAGAGGACCCGGAGGAAGAAAAAGAGGGCGACGATGACGAGGAGGGTGATGGCGATTACGATGATCGCCATAGCCAGCACGAGCAGCTGGAGCTTCTCCAAAGCTTTCGCCCGGGGGGAGACGAGGAGGAGGAGGAGTACGAGGAAGAGGAAGAGGCGGAGAAGGAAAAAGCTCCGAGGAGGAAGAGGCGGAGGAGCGGCGGCGGCGGTGCCAAGAACCGGGCGGCGGCGAGCTTGGACTCCAGCTCCAAAGTCTCGGGAGATGACAACAGTGCGTCGCCGCCAGCCAGGAAACGCGCAAAGGGGAATGGCAGGCCGTCGAGCGTGACGATCTGCAGCGACACGGACAAGCCCAGCATCGACATCAAGATCACCAGGTCGCATTTGTCGCCCAGCTTCACTCTGGTATCGATCTTCCCCTGGGATTCTATGATCTTTCTCCTCCAACCTTGGCTTCTCTGTGATTGCTTGTGTGCTCTAGAACTTGCCCCCAGGATTCGTGCGCGCGCACATCAACATCGGGATGCAGTACCGCGTGATCAATGGCGGGAGCTGCCAATCGCTGAGCGTGCACAGCTCCGGGAGGAGATTCATGGTGAAGCGCCATGAATGGAGGCAGTTTGTGGAGGATCAGGAGCTCGAGACTGGCGATCTCGTGCATCTGGAGGTGTTTGGAGGCAATCGCGTGATCAAGATGGAGGTTTTCAAGAGCAGTGGCACCAGCAAAGCTATCCTCTTCGACGAGGATCCAGGTTAGCACGATGAAAAGCCGCTAAGTTAGAAGATCTTTGATTCATTCTTTGTGAGTTTTTCTAGATCATGTGGATTCGGAGGAAGGGGAGCTGGAAGAACTGATCTTTGCAAGTGCAAGAAATGATAGCATTATGGTACCAATCCCAGTTGATTGATTGGTAAACCTATAAACCTTTGTATACTTTTTCTCCTTACGTTTTAAAAGGGATTTAATGCGAGCGTGTAAAGTTGTCTTAAAGGTTTAGGGCTCGCGATGGAAATTTTAATGCCAGCGTGTAATACTTTTTTAAAGGTTTAGGGTTCTTGCCAGCTATGGCGAGCGCGGGCGACGCAGCGCAGGGCATCCTCGCGGCGCTGGACAGCGGCATGAACCGGGCGTGGCGGGAGGAGGACGCGGCCTGGCGGGCGCACATTCACGAGGCGCGATCGCAGGATGTGGAGTGGATGCGTGTGGAGCGCCGAGTGAGGAAGGACGACGCCGAATTGCGCGCGAGCAAGCGATGGTGAGGGTCTAGAGCAAGGGATTTCTTGCAGTGATGGATCGATCGCAGGTGGAGGCAGGAGAATCTGGAGTATAGGAATTTGGAGAATGCGCGCTGCCTTTGGCTAAGGCAGGCTTCTCGACTTGTTTTTCTTGTTCTTTTGGTCTAAAACTTCTTTCCTTTGGCAGATTTGTGGAGAGGAATCGGCGAGATGTGGAAGAGAAATCGGAGCTTCTCAAGGCAGTGTCAAACTTGTCAGCGCTCTTTGCAGGCTTCGCTATTGTCACGCTTACGCAGTTCCAACCACAAATGAAGTTTTCAAAGGTTGATTGTTTCGAAGTTACTTTTCTTCGCGGTTCATGGACTCATTGTTTCTCGCAGTAGGCCTTGTTTGGAGTGTATGGAGTCCTCACGGCTGTTGTGGTGAGATTTCCTAATCTACCTAAAATTCAGCTCACTCTTTTCTTACAGGAAGGGTTGATGATCATGTCAATGGTTACCTGCACGCTTATTCTAGGAAGCATTCTCAAGATTGGCAGAACTTATGTCAACGAAGAAGCCGAGGAGGAATTCATCTTTAACTGCTTAGACTTTTGCCGAAACTACAATCCAGGTGATCATCCTCCTGCGCCCAGGAGAACTCTGGAAGCCTTTTGGTATTGCAGGTAGATTTTTCGTTCTTTTTTCCTTGTTTTCCTTCTGTCGTAAGTACACTCTTTCATGATCTTGCTGTCCACGCAGATGTGAGACTACCTGGCAGCAAGCTTTCCATTCCTTTTCTTTCGGTAAGCCGTACAAAACAGTTGCCAAATCCTGGAGCTCAGCTTTTCTTTCTTTTGCCGCAGGTGTTTCTCTCTTCCTCCTGAGCATGATCGTCATCGGATGGATAAAGTACTCTGGAGAATCCCAAGTCACAGCGATACTATTCATCTCCCTCTGTGCGATCGCCATCGTCTTGTGGTACTTTAAAAAAACTTTCTCATTCAAGCTCGTGCCTTTTCACAAACACCTTCTTCTTCCCGCAGGTTCATAGTACAGTACGCATGGGGAGAATACTTTAGAAGGCGAAAAATCACGCATGCCTCTTACAACACTTCCTCCGAGGAAAAGGGCCTTCCTTACGCGTGGTATCTCGCACCGATTTTCGATGAGAGCCAGGCAACTATGGCATGATCTTACTGAGGAAGCATGTAAAGTCTGGTAAAAAAAATGTGTGTTTTTTTGTACAAAAGAATGTAAGTACATGGAAGCTCTCAAAACTGGCCACAGTCGGCAACTATGGCATGATCTTACTGAGGAAGCATGTAAAGTCTGGTAAAAAAAAATGTGTGTTTTTTTGTACAAAAGAATGTAAGTACATGGAAGCTCTCAAAACTGGCCACAGTCGGCTGGAGTGGTGGGAAATCTTTTGCTATCGGTGCAGTAGTCGTAGATCATGTAGTTGTCCTTGACCCACTTGAGCTTGCTCTTGGTCTCCTTGTCGGTACGCTGGAATGCCTTTTGCTCCCACCAGTTGCCCCTGGGAGCGCTGCACGACTCCACACCCCCGGCGCAAGCATCCACGCTGAATCCCTTGTACGCCGCCACGAATGGAGCGTGATCCCAGTTGATCTTCTCCAGTCCGCCGCGAGTAGCCCAGTCGTCTCCGTTCCACAGGCTCGAGTAGATCCCCATTGGCTGGCTCTTCGGGAATGGGATCCCAATGGCTTCGTTGTTCTTGTGGACACGCAGAGGGACATCGTCCACGTAGAATCTGAGGGACCAAAACCACAGCTTCAGCAATGATCGATCGATATAAACTAGTGGCTATGGAGGGCTCACTTACATGATCTGCTGCTTGTTCCAGAGGAAGGAGTAGCTGTGGAAGTCCTGAGTGGGGTCGAACCAGAGGTAGTGTCGCTGCTCCCGGTTTCCAACGCCATTGGCGAAAACGTTGGTCTGGACGATGTATGGCTGCCCGGAAACGTTCCCCAAGAACTCAAAGTCGATCTCGTCGTGCTTGTCGGTCTCGGAGGACATGTAGAATGCCGTCACCGTTCCAGCAGAGTCTTTGGGAACCAGCTTGATCTTCATGCTGACATGACCGAACAAGTATTTGCTGCGGGACCCAAATCCAGCACCTATCATGCAACAGGACTTGATCAGCAAAGAGAAGCTTTGAAAGAAAGAGAGATTGTTACCTGATGCCTTGTCGAGAACAAGCTGCATTTCGGTGCCACCGTTGAGGGCTCGCGTATGATCGTTGGCCCATCGGACATAGTAGTTCTGAGAGAAAGAAACATCTGACTTTGGTGGGAGACGAGCAGAGAGCGCAAGCTCGACCAACAACAGCAATGCAATGACTTTGAGAGCACCCATTGCTCGATCGGAAGTCCTGGCAAGAACAGAAGACTTGTATGATCAGAGGCTTGGATGGATGAAACTTCGAAGACTGGTAGCAGACGGGATGGAGTTTGCAATGGTTGACACTGGGGTGGTGATGGAGATTTATAGGATGTAGCCATTGCCGCGGAATAAGCGCGTGATCGGGAGAAGAATGAGTTGGAGGCTTACTAAGATCCAGCTCAAGAGAGAGTAAGGTCACCATATGTTGTTGGTATGGGAGGAAGCTTCTGCGCGAGCGAGGCTCCAATGGCAAGAGAGGATTGGCTGTGTGGCAAAAAGTTTCTCGTGAGAAAAACTGAGCTCGTTGCCCATCTGTAATCCAACACAGCAAGACGAAAATCAAAACCAATAAACGTGTTGATGTTGATCGTCTCTACCTCGTAAGTACCTCACTTTCAAGTAGTTTAGTTTTTCCGTGTCTGGCATTAACAGCTGTGGTGTTTTGTCCGTTGCCACTACCTAGCGACATGCCGCGGGAAGTATAATCTGTTGAAAGCACAGAAATAAAGAAACAGGCAAGGAGTGGTGAACCCAACAGATGGGAAAAAGAAACAGTGTTTTCACGTACGCGTTTCGTGGACGACATTAGTGGCAAGACGATTTAGTGAAGCGACTCAGCCTTGTTGTCAGAGCCGTTGCAATTTTCGCACCAACGAGTGCATTATTCTTCACGAGCTGGATATCTGTCAATTGTAGCAAAGAAAAACTACCAAACGAAGACTACCAAACAAAAGGATACTTGCAGCCAATGAATCGCCTCCAGTGAGCTCGTTGACGCGCTTGAGCAAGAATGGCGTCACAGAATTACCGGCAATACCTCTGCTCCTATAAAGAAAACACACGTAGGAATAGCGAGAGGTCACTGAGACGTACTCTGCTTCATGCAATGCCGATTGTATGGCCGATTCCACGTTCTTAGCTGCCGCTGCATGCTCTGCGGGTATTGGAACCCCGATCAAAATGCCTGAACTCAATCCAAACTTCGTGCTTGCCTCTGCAGTGTCAAGTTAGAATCGATAACCACGATGGCTAGAGCTTACCTATGATGTCTGCGCATTCCTCCACGCTGTCTGCTCGGCAAGGTGCTTTGCAGCCACTGTTAGGAGTAAAAAATGCTGGAAATTCATCAGTTGAGTAGCTAACAACCGTCACTCCTTGAGTTTCCTGCAAATTGTTTCATAGTAAAACACTCGTGCGCTATACGATGGTCTTACCAGGTACTCAAGTGTTCGTGGAATGTCAAGGATTGATTTTACCCCTGCACAAACCACCGCAACTGGAGTTTTACCCAGTTCTGTCAAGTCCGAGGACACGTCCATAGCTTAATAAAAACAAAGTTGAAGACACAAAAGTATGACATAAGAAAGAACATTGGGCTTACTTGACTCGCCCTGTCGATGAACTCCTCCAATACCTCCAGTTACGAACACTTTGATTCCCGCCTGGAACATAATCCATCAGAGACTCCTCTTTTTCCCAATGTAGAAACTACCTTTGAAGCGAAAAACATTGTTGCTGAAACAGTGGTTGCTCCGTTTCCTCGACGAGCAATCTGGGAAAGAAAAACACTAACTGTGGAGAACAAGTAAAAAAAGAGCTTACGACGTAAGGAATGTCGCGCCTAGCGGTCTTTGAAACCATGGTACCAAGCTTCGCAAGCCGTTCGAGCTCCGCCAAGCTCAAGCCTATCCATGCTGTGTTAGAGAACCAGAAAACGAAACAAAAGCATACCGATGCATGGGACACCGTCTAAGATGGCTATGGTTGCCGGCACGGCCCCGTTCGCTCTCACAATGGATTCCACCTCTTGAGCTGTATGGAAGTTTTGCGGGTAAGGCATTCCTGGCAAAGAGCAAGAAAATCACTCGAATGGAAGTCGGAAGAAATTAACAAGCGCGATACCATGCGATACAATGGTCGATTCCAGTGCAACCACACCGACGCCACTGGAAAGAGCCGATCGAACCTCAGGCGCGACACGAATCCCCAGATCGTCGAGATGTTCCAGCGGCGGCGAAGAAATATGCCTGGAAATCACAGAAATCCTGCACGCCATTGCCAATCGCTGCTGCTGCCGCCGCTCTGATCGCAAGAACCCTGGATTGCCGATCGCGAAGACGCTAGAAATGCGCGCCTAGATACTAAAGCCCTAAACCAAATAAGCGATTTTATCCAAGCAGGATTATATCTTTAACTATCTCATCTTGGAACACTGATAAAGCTAGTATCTTCTAGCTCGTCTTCGCCATCGTCTTCGTCCTCACACTCTTCTTCCTCTTCCACCAGCGCCGGCAAATTCAGATCCAAAAACTCCTCCCTCGCAGCTGCGAATTCTTCTCGGCCAACCGTCGCTGCTGCTGGGATCATCGCTGGAATCACCGCTGGAACTGGAACTGGAGGAGCCGGAACTAAAGCTGTTGTTGCTGGAGTAGGGGCCACTGCCGCTGCTGGAAGAGTTGGAACTGGATTTACAACCGCTGCTACTAGAGCTGGAGCTGGCAATAAACTCGATGCTGGAGCTCCGATCGTCGTCGCCACAATCGAAGAAGTTACCGCTAGTACTTGCTGCGATGGTGGCTCCGACGACAGTGGACGATCACTCCCACCCCAGTGGCATCTCTTGTGTCCCCCGAGAGCTTGGCCCGACGTAAAAACCCGGTGACAGATCGAGCACTCGTGGCCTTTGATGCTCATCTTCCTGCTGCTGTAGCCAAACTCGTCCTTGAATCGAAAGCTGCTCGCCAGCGGGAGATGGTGGATGTGGCTGTGGCTGTGGTTGTGGTGGTGGTGGTGGTGATGGTGGTGATGGTGGTGGAAGTCTAGCGGCAAAAGTTGCTCCTCGGACCTCAAGAACTCCTCGTCGGTGATGTCCTCCTCGGCACTTTCCTGCTGGGAGGCTTGGTGGTGAGCTTGGAGTTGATGAGCTTGATGAATTTGGTGATGGAGGATCACTTGCTGCTGCTGCTGGAATGGAAGCTGCTGCTGTTGCTGCGGCTGGATGATTCCATCACTGCCACCGCTCAAGCTCGTCTTTGCAAAGCATCCTTTAACTTTCTTGTGGCTCGCTCGGTGTCCCCCAAGTGCCTGGTGCGACTTGAAGATCCTCTTGCACGTCGAGCACTCGTACTTCATCCTGATCCCATCAAAGTCGTGGTCCAGGAGCTCCGCAGCAGAGCACACCAAGCTGGACTCGTCGATCCCGACCTCTTCCAGGTCCTCCAAATCTTCAATCATCTCGTTGGACGATCCAAAGTTCACCACGCTGCTGTTCCTCACGATGTTCCTCTCATGCACCACCATTGCGTTGTCCGGTGTTGAAGTTACTGCGTTGTTCGTGGCAGTGGAGTCCGCGACTACGTTGTTATTAGTCGTGGAAGTTCCTTCGTCCTCGAGCTCTTCTTCTTCTTCCTCATCGTCTTCTTCCTCCGCGCCTTCTTCGCCATCGTCTTCCTCGTGTTCTTCTCGTTGTTCTGCCTGATGTTCTTCTCGACCACCTTCCACGGCTCCTTCTTCTTCTCCGTCCTCATCTTCGTCCTCAAATCCCAAGCTACTGTTCGACTTTCGTCCTGCGCAGGCGAGCATCACCAAGCACCTTGCCATGTCTCGCTCCTCTTTGATCTCCGCTGGCGGCTGCCTCGGTCTTTTGGACCGTTTCCCAGTGATGATCTTCCCTTTGCTGCTAAAGCCTCCGGAGCTGTTGCAGCTTCCATTGATATACGCCGCCTCGATGCTCTCCGTATCACTCTCGTTATCCGAAGGCACGACTTTGATATAGAGAGCTTCGAGCTCGTCGTCTGGATCATCGTCGAGCAGGAAGGACGACGGTGCTGCTGCTGGCGGCGGTGCTTGCCTCGACTTCTTGCTGGAATTTCTGCGAACGCTTCCTGACTTGGATAGTTTGTAGTCGGAGAGATTGTCAGGCCGCTGGATTCCCCGCCATTCTCGCTCTGGATGGCACCTCATGTGTCCAAACAGCGCCTTCCACGACGAGAACTCCTTGCCACACTCGGTACAAGCTCTTGCTTTGTCCGCAAAGATGGAAGAGTTGGAGTTTGCGTTGTTGACGGTAGCGGCGCTGGAGTTCTTCTTTGGAGTCGCCACTGCTCCTGCTCCGCCGCCGCCAGGAGTTACTGGCGACGAGATTGGATGAAATGACGAGCTCCCAGAAGTTGGAAGGATGTCGAGAGCATACTCCTGGTCTATAAATCTCCGGCTGCGCTTCGGGTTCCTCCGTAGAGCGTAGAGTGAATGCTCCTTCTTTTGCAGCTCCTTGCTGCTGCTGTGATCTTCCACTACCGCGCTCTGTGAAGAGTTTACGACAACTTGCTGCACTTGCACGCTCGTGTTGCTACTGCTGTTGACATTCACCTCTTCGTCCGAGCTCGCTTTCGTCACCACAAGACAATCTTTGTCGCCTCCACCTTCTCCGGACGACTTCACGGTGCTGCTGCTCGTGATCACAACTTCCTCGATCACCTTCACTTGGATGCTACTGTCGTCCTCAACTGATCGAGCCGGCTTGGCTTGAAGAAGCTGAGGAAGAACAGGAGCCGGAGGAGGACGGTTCCCTGGAGGTGACCAATCACTCCCGAGGTCCTCGTCGCAATGCAAGTCTATATCGACGAGCTCGCTAAACTGGCCATTGACCTGAGCTCCCAGCTTGCTCTTATCCTCCTCCTCTTCCTCCTCCACGACCATCTCCACCTCCATATCCGTGTTCTTCTCGTTGGTGGTGGTATCGCTGCTAACGTTGATGCTAGCTGCCTGGCTCCGGGGGGCCTCCACCAAGCTTAGGAAATCCATCATCGACTTGTCCAGCTCCCTTCGTTTCTCAACCGAATTCAGCTGAAACAAATCCCGGAGCTCCCTAGGGCAAGCGCGATGAGCTCTCCGGGAATTGAGCTCAGCTCCCGGCAGCTACAAGCAAGCGAGTAGAGTGAGTGAGTGAGTTCCTCAGCGTACCGGCGAATGCAAGCTCGAGAAGGAGACTTTCCACTCACCTCGATTTCTCCTGAGCTCAAAGCTGGAGCTTCGATTCGGCGAGCTGGATCTTCCAGTGTAGGCTGCTGCTGGTTTCGCAGGACTCTTTTTTTCTCTTTTTCTTTTGCTTTTGGCAGCAGCTAGCTAGCGGTTGCGCCGTTTCTTCGAGGACCAGCATGCGCGCCTCTTCCCCACAGTTCGTTAAAAAAAATGAGAACAGTCGTGGGCCGTTGGATAGATGCCGTATCCAACGGCGTCCCGTGGCAGTGGTCTTTCCCTGTTGATAAGCAAAATCACAAAGGAGCGCTCTAAAGGAGATGACTTACCGGATCCCCGGGAAAGATGAAGCTGGATCGATGGTTTTTGCTGGCTGTGCTAGCTCGGACACAGATTTTCCAGCATCTTCGCTAGAGCATCGTTTGATAGAGTGATCTGCAAGCACTCCTGTCCGTTTGAGCCTTTCTTCCAGCGAACGAGCTGGTGGTCTCGGAACTCCGTGAGGTGAGCTCGGAGTGTCAGCTCGCTGCTCACCAGGAAACGCTCCCTGCATTTGTTGTAGAGCTGGTACTGCGACATTCCTGGTTTCCTAAACGCCATCAGGACGAGAATACTAGACAAAGAGCTCACCTTCGTCCTCCGGGTTTGCGAGCTGGTGGTCGGCTAGAACCTTGAAGACGCTCTGAGCATTCGTTGTCAAGCTTTGTAAAACAAGCAGTGCACTGCGGACGCTCTTGCTGGTCCCGAGGGAAGAAAGCAGTAGCGGAACGTGAGAGGCCTCGGCATCGTAAGCAGCGTAAGTCGGGGTGTGATGCCACCACCAATTGAACTGCGTGTTCGCCATGCGTTTATCCCACACTGGACAAAGAACAAACACAACGTTGCATGAAAACCAAAAGGAGGAAAAGATTTCACTTACATAATGGACCATTGATGCTGTCGATGGAAGAAACTATCCGGAAATGCGAGCACGAAGCTAGCTTGGCAAGCTGCTGCTGCGTAGCGCCATCTCTCAGACCAGGACCATCGATGCTGTGAACGATGATATAAACGATCGAGTCACCCTGATAGCCAGAGAGTAAGGCCACCATGTCTTCCACGCTTGTGGCACTCGTCGTGCCCGAGCTTCCATACAAACTTTGCTTCAAAGTACGCAAAACCTGGCAAAGATTTGCTGCGAAGTCTTGATAAGCTCTGGAAAGAAGCTACCTGTTTGAAGTTAATCGTTGGAAGGAAGCCATTTACCACAACAGCAGCACCATCAGTCAATGCTGTGGATCCAAAATCCTCAAGAAGCTGCCTCTTGGATCCAAATCCATACATCAAAAGTCCAAAACCGCATCTAGGAAAACGAAAGAGTTAGAGAAGAATCTCATCCAGAAACATAACTAGCAACTTCAGCTGAAAGAACCAGTGTGGATAAGATTCTTTGTAGGAGTCGAGAAGGCGTGCTTGCTCCACCTGGTGCTTTGGAACGAGCTGTGCCAAAGCCGCTCGCAATTCCTGGAAAGAAAAGAAGAAAAGAGGAGATTTATCAAGAGAGATCCAGAATGCAGGAGGAAATATCCCGGCTTACTTGCTCATCGACCACACGGACATCAGAGATTGCTTTGGCAGATCTCTTGCTGGAAGAGGATTCTTTTCGCGATGGCGTCCCATTTTCGCCGGCATCCACAGGGGCGGCGCCGGCGGTTTCAAGCACTCGCTCTACTTCGTCACAATGCTGCTCCTTTACCTCCTGCAATCGATCAACCTCTCCAGCCTGCGCAATCGAGAAAACGTTCGATCGCCTTCTTCTCTTGGGCATCTCCTCGATAAACCCTAGAAATTTCCCCTTATTCTAGGGCTAACACTAGTCGGAGATATGGCGATGGCTTCCGGAGGCGCTGGAGCTGCTGGGATCGCCGCTGGAGCAGTGAGCAGTAGCAATGAAGGCGGCAGTGGAGCATTCAAGCTTCTCAAACCCGGACCAAGTCAGTGATTCTTCCTCTCTCCTTCTCTAGGGTTTTTGTACGAGAGCGTGAGCGCGATCCTTTGCTTACGCTCTTTTGCTCTACTGTAGGACCGCGAGAGCTGACCGGTGCTGTGGATTTGATCACGCACTATGGCCTCCGCGAGCACTACGAGACATACACGAAGAAATCCTTCCCAGCGTCAATTGCCGAGTCCAAGTACCTCCGGGACGTGGTCGGAGACATGGAAATTCGCAAAGGCGATGGGATGGAGCTTGGGCAATTGCTCAGACCATCGCCCAGCGACGGTTTCCCGGTGGACATCCGTCCTTTTGATCTGGAGACGCTGAGACGATGTTTCACGTTTCGAGAAAGTGGGCCAATTTCTCTGCCAGAAGTAAGTTTTAGAGTTCTTTCTTTGTGTTCTTGGCTGAATGTGTGGCTCGGCCAGGCCGATCGAGGGCAACCAACGATTGGAAAGACGAAAGATGAGGAGAGAAGGAAGCACAAGAAACACAAGCACAAGGATAAACACAAGCACAAGGACAAAGACAAAGAGAAGGACAAGGAGAAGCGTAAGGAGAAGCACAGGGACAAAGATGCAAAGGGAGAGAATGGCGAAGAAAAAAGGAAGCATAAGAAGAAGGTAACTCTCGGCTAGCTCTTCTCTTCTTTGTGGTATGTAACTACAAAGTGGATGATCTTAGAAGCGACGGCATGAGGGTGAAGAGGAGGAAGGCGATGGTCACAAGCACAAAAAGAAGAAGGTATTCACGGAGAAATCCTTAGTTCTTTGCTCAGCGTATCGATTGATTCTTCTCTCTTTTTTTTCGCAGCACAAGAGCTCTCCAAATCCGGATGCTGTGGCCGCGGTTCCTTCCGCTACTGCAGCGGCTGCTGCCACTGTAAAAGTACGATAGGACGAAATCCCTCCTGGAAGAATTTGCTGCAAGGAGCGAATGTAAACTTATCCGCGAAGGTATGACGAAAATCGTTCTATGGTGTTAACTTACACGCAGTGTTTTTGTTCCAGGGAAGCGATTTTCTGCTAAGAAAGCCTGCCAATTTTGTAAATCTTGATTATTATTCATTTTTTGAGGCAAAAATCTCTCGAATATTATTGAGCTTTGCATGCATCGTGTTTAGCAACAGAAAATAGTAGCAGTGTTATTCTTACTTATGAATCCAATTGATCAAATATAAGCATGTTTGTAATTGATTAATTTTATTGCATTAGATGGTAGAATAAAAAAGAATATACTAAAACGGTTTTAAAAGTTTATAACATGTTTATAAATTATACATACAAAATTAATCTAAATAAATAACAATTGTTAGATGGTAAGATATTTTAGAATATCCAAGCATAATATTTTGCTCAAAAAAGAATAAAAAGAACTCGTCGCCTGAGAGATTCGAACTCTCGCGGGGAAACCCCATGTACTTAGCAGGCACACGCCTTAACCACTCGGCCAAAGCGACAAGCTATGCAAGCTTCTGCAGACTCTTACTATCTGATATATTTTCTTCTGTCTAAATGTTTCTAGGGCTTAAGCACTTCCAGCCAGACCCCGGAATGCGGCCAACGAATCGAGCTTTCGCACCTCCATTCCAGTGCCGCAGGTATGCGCGTCAATCCCGCCATCGCTGGATCGATCATTCTCAGGGCAAAGATGGCGGATGGGCGAGCGATTGCGCACGGCTATGCGGTGAGCACTGGATCCAGGGCTTCCAGGACAGGCACTCGATCCTCAAGAACGCGTCCAGCGCCATGGAGAGCAAGGTCTTGTGGGAGATGGCCTACTGGAGATCGTGCCGGGCGCTGGATTTCTTCGTCCCCAAGAATCGCCCCCTCCATCCCAAGCTGGCCGCGCAGCTGGATCCACTGCGCGAAGCGGTGCTCTCGCAGCGATACGATTGGGGCGGCACCGGCACGCTCTATCTCACTCCAGCGTTCCTCTCCCCGACCAAGCTTCCCGAGCTCCAGGATCGGGTAGTCCAGGAAGTTCTTCTCATGATCTTGGAGCCGGTGTTTGAGGCGCGGTTCTCGCATCGATCCTTCGCGTTTCGGCCCGGAAGAACAGCGATGACAGCGCTCAAGTACATCACGGGCAGCTTCCAAGAGTGTACGTGGTTCATCACCGCCAAGACGTCGATCCTCGAGAGCCTGGAGCTGGAGGTGGCGATGGAGATCTTCTCTCGCGTCGTCCAGGACGAGTTGATCGTCAAGCTCGTCAGGGATGGCCTCTCGGTGGAGACGAGAGACACCATCGTCCCGGAGGAGTACTTCCTCTCCAAGAAGAAGAAGTGGCGAGTGATGGAGCAAGAGATCCATCGCCTGACGAGGGAGAAGAATCGACCATTCTGGCTCAAGTGCTTCCTCGCCATGGGACCGATCGAGGGGAAGAACTCGCCACACTGGGGAAGCTGCAAGATCTTGAGCCCCCTGCTGCTCAACATCGTCCTGGACGAGCTCGATCGATTCGTGGAGCGCGAGATCGAGGAATTCGACGCCGCGCAGGGGCAGGGCCAGGTGATGGAGTACGTTCGCTACGCCGGGCATTTCCTCCTGGGGATTAAAGGCGCCGACGAGGAGATCGTCGCGATGGAGGCCAAGCTCCGCGAGTTTTGCCGTGACAAGCTCAAGCTCGAGCTCTTCCCGGAGATCTTCCACCTCTCGCAAAAGGTCCCATTCCTGGCTCACACGATCCAGGCCAGCGCCGACGCGGCTCTCGAGCATCGAATTCCTCGGAGCCGCGAGAACTCGCGGGAGGTGAGCAAGCAGAAGATCCGGCTGGTGGCCAGCATGAAGCACTGCGTGGAGAGCCTGGCGCGATTGAAGATCCTGGAGCTCCCGGCCGGGCAGAGGATGAAGATCCATCCGTGCTTGCGGCTGCTCAAGGCGCGCCAGGAGGACGCCAACCTCCAGGTCTCGGATCTCCTCCATCTCCTGGCCGGCTTCTATCGCCTGGCGATCAACCGCAAGAAGATCACGGTGTTCCTGACGTTTGTCCTGCGATCGTCCCTGGCGATCATGTACGCTTCCAAGCACCGGCTCCAGAGGAGAGCGCCCGTCTACAAGCTTGGCGGCGATGATCTCAGCTGGAAGATCAAGGGAAAGAAGGGAGTTTTCGAGTATGCCAGGAGGATCAAGCCTCTCCCCGACGAGATCGTGGGGATTCCATTCCGGCATTCGTGCCAAGTGCTGCCACCTTTGTTCTTGCCTGTGACTAAGAAATGGATGCCTTTTCATGAGATTTGTCTTGAGAGATACATCGAAGGGAAGAGGCCTGGAACTTTGGAGAAAGAGACTGAAAGATATAGAGATGCCAGCATAGATTTGCACAAAGGTCTAATCGACCTAATGTTTGAGTTTGATTGCAGGAAGCCATTATCAGAAATACTTCAGAGATGCAATGATACTTAAAACCTTAAGACAGAATTATGATTTACTTGTGTAGTGAGAAGAAAAAGATTATGAATCTTGCAATCTTTGAAATAATCCCAAGAGCTGGAGCTGGAGTTTCTGCTTCTTTCACCTCCAACACAGGAGTTGGATTGGAAGGATGAGCTGATTCATTGTGATTTCTCTCGGGAAACTCATCTAGAATCAAAGCCTCATCCTCATTTTCCATGGCCAAAGAATCACCCGAAATCGAAGTTTCATCTTGTTTTTTCTTGTTTCTTCGCCGATTCTTGTTCTTGTTCTTCTTCTTCTTCGCTTCTTCACCATCTTGTTCAAGAGCCTTTTCACATTCCAAATCCAAGACTTCCCAGCTATTCACCGCGATCTGGACACCCTTTCCCTTGGACTTCTCACTCCCAGAGTTTTGAAATTCCTTGCTAGCTTTCCTCACGGGCTTTTGGAAACCATCCTCGTCATGGAGAGCCAACTCGATATCTCGTTTGATAGCTCGGAGAGGCCTCTCTAATTCATCGTCATCTTCCACCACCTTGGATGCCTTGCCCTTCCTAGAGCTTGATCTTGGAGCATAGCCAGACGTCCCAGTGACCTTCGATTCCAAAACCTTTGATCCCAAAACCTTGGATCCAACATCTAGATGGTTGGACTTGACAATCGTGGGCTGTGCCTTTACCTCAGAGGAGATCTTCTCCCAAATGCTTTGCTGCCTTGTCACAGCAGCATTGCTCATCGTGCTCAACACTGGGAACTCCCCAGCGTCTAAAACCTTGGCTGCCATAGCTCCAATCTTCTATACCCTAAAACAACCTCTTAGAGCTCCAAGCTATATAAGCTAGAAAAAGGATAAAAAAGGTTCTGGGTATAACCTAAAATAGTTTTCCGAGAGATCGTCAATTTAACAGAATCTGTTAAATCCTCGAGAGGTTCAAGTTTTGAGCGGGCATTCCATTGTGGGGATTTGTGGGTTGGATGATTGAATGGTTAGGGTTTCAAGCACAATCAATCCATCTCTGGCTTCCTCTGGATTTCGATGGCTGGAGAGAAATTCTTGTGGCATTTCTTGCTCTTTGCAGAGCTATTTGTGAGTTCTGCTGTGCATCTAGCTTATGGGCTTGTGATATTTGGATCAGCAGTCCTTGCAGATCTATTGAGTGGCCGATCGATCGACTCAGCATTTACTGTGGCATCCGAAGCCGTGAATCCGAGTGTCGCAACTTCAATTGACGGGGGCATTGCCACCACCGACACCCGTGATGGATCGGATGTCACGCCTGTTGTCTTGCTTCACGGGATCTTTGGATTTGGGAAAGGGGTGAGTGTTTGTTTTTTTTTTTTTTATGTTTGCTTTATATTGTCGATTCTGGATTGAATAGAAGCTGGGAACAATTTCATATTGGGCTGGCGCTGAGAAGAAATATGGACGAGTTCTTGTGCCGGATCTCGGCTCCTTGACAAGTATTCACGACCGGTTTTCTTCTTTCCAGCCTTTCCTTTCCTCGAATTTGGCATAGTTTCTCTAAGTTCTTGTTTTCTTATTCTTTTTTGTGAGCAGTGCTTGTGAGCTGTTCTACTTTTTAAAAGGAGGAACTGTTGATTATGGTGCTAGTCATAGCTCCGAGTATGGGCACGCACGATTTGGAAGGACGTTTGAGCAAGGTAGCTTGCGAGCTGTAAGAAAAAGAAGAACTAAAAATCGCAGGGAATTCTGGCAGGGCATTTTCCGGAGTGGGATGAACATCGACCAGTGCATTTTGTTGGCCATTCCTCCGGAGCTCAAGTGGCACGAGTCTTGCAGGAAATGCTTGCAAACAAGGTGCGTATTCGGCTTTTCTTTCGTTTCCTTCCTCTAGAAAAAGTCATATTGCTCCTCTCTACAGGAATTTCCTGGCTACGAAAATGCATCCGCGGACTGGGTGCTTAGCATCACAGCCTTGTCCGGCGCTCTCAATGGAACAACTCGAGTTTACATCGATGGAATCCAGTAAGAACAACGTTGCTCACAAACCATCCTCGTCTAATGCTTGTGTTGCTCCGTAACACCAGACCAGAGGATGGTTGCACCTTAAAACCTCTCTGCCTTTTGCAGCTATTGCGTGTGGGTGCTCTCGTCTACGAGTGGCTGGACATAAGCTACCTTAAGAACTACTATAGTTTTGGTTTTGATCACTACAATCTCCAGTGGCAGAAAGCTGGATTGATCGGTCTGGCTTCGTCCATTGCTGGTTACTCTGGTCCTTTTGCTACCGGAGACTGGATACTGCCAGACTTGAGCCTTCAAGCGGCAGCACGAATTAACCGGAAGCTAAAGACTCATCCCAATACGTACTATATAAGGTTTGCTCGTAGTTTCTGTGTACCTTATACTGATGTTTCTTTGCAGTTATGCAACGCAGAGAACAATGAAAGTCTGTGGCAAAACAATACCGTCGAGTTTACGCGGGATCCATCCTTTGCTCCTTTTGCGAACCTTGGAGATGTGTTTGTGGCGTCATCCCGGCCATCTTTCGCTTCCATTTTCCGGATACAGGTATAAGTTTTTGTAGAAAAGTAATTTTTTTCTGGCTTTCGTTTTCTTACGCGTTTGTTTCCAGAGATGCCGATTGGCAAGACAACGATGGGGCATTGAACACGATATCACAGCTTTATCCGAGATTTCCATTCAGCCATCCAAATTCTTTGTTGGATTCTTTGCAGGGCGATCAACCATTAAAACGAGGTCTCTGGTAAGCTGGCCGTGAAGTTTCTCTTCTTGTCTATGTTTAATTGGATGACTTCTCACAGGTACTACACAGTTTTGGAAGCAGACCACATCTTTTTTATAATCGATCGCGAGCGTGCCGGCGTTCATTTTGACGTTTTGTACGATAGCATTTTTGAGCGCTGCAGGAAGCAGATGGTTAAATCGACAATTCAAGCTGTGAAGGATGCCTCGCAAGCTTTGACAGGTTGACACAATTCTTCATTTTTTCTTGGTGTTTGTATACTAAATCTAAGCGACTAATCATACAAGCACTCGAGTGTACTCGAGATGTGATTTTTGAAGAGCAAGCTTCGTGAGACGCTTGAGGATGGTAAAAAAACGCTACTATGACACAAAGTTTGATTTTTCAGCGAAAAAACACCGATGGTTTCTGATGAAAATGACAAAATTGTACAGGAAAAATGGCGGTCCACAGTTTGGAACTTATCCACATTGAAAGTACTTGAGCCGCAAGTATTTCTTCTCGTTCGTCAGCTTTAAAGGGACGAGCGGCTCAGTTTCTCCTTCTTTTTTTTTTTTTCCTCCCTTTCGTCCTTGCAGGTGAAAGATTGTGGACACCGTCTTTATCAAATCCAAGGCCACAACGTCAACACGTTATTTGATGATATGGAGCTCAAGACAAATGGTTTGGTCTTCTCGCCGCTATCGTGTCGCTGACAGTAGGTTTGCTGGTTGGACGATGGAGCGCAGCGCAGAGAAATGGTTTTTTGGCTCCAGGCGTTACAATGCATATGCCACCACGGCAATAACGAAGAACAGTGAAATTTAATGAAGAAAGAAGCATTGTCAAGGACGTACCAGGCACAAGGGCTGCCGCGTGTTTGTCTTCTCTTGGGAAATTATTGGAATCTTCTCCTGGAAATTCTTTTTTCTTTTTGGAGCTCTCATGACAGAAGATTTTCCCTCCAAAGAATAAATCAAACTTCCATCTAAGAAATCTAGATTAGGGTTTTAGGGTTTTGGCAGGTGAGCAAGCAAAGAGGTGAGAGATTTCTTTCTATTCCAACTAGGGCGCGCTATTCATCTCTCACGATGCGTCTCTCAGCGGCGACAGTGGAATCCGGGGCGAGTTTCGAGAATGCGACACCGGCGTGAAGATTGGCGAGTGGATCTTTGGCCTGATCTCTTCCAGCTGCCGGATTACCTCCTTGATGTCCGGGCGTACCGCCGGCGATGGCGCGCAGCATCCCATGGCCAGCTGAAGGGCTTGGAGGAGGCCGTCCTCCATCGGGCTCCGCAATCCTCGTAGCAGATCGAGATCAAACAGCTCGGCCGTCCTCTCCTCGATCACCGCGGTTTTCACCAATGTGGGTAAGTCCACCACCGTGACGCTATCGTTGTCTCCAGCGGCTAAGTTTCCGGGTTTTTTCCCTGTCAGGAGCTCCAGCAGGATGATCCCGAAGCTGTAGATGTCGGTCTTGGTGTTGGCTTTCTTGATCCTGGTAAGCTCCGGCGCCTTGTAGCCTTGGGTAGCTTGAGCAGTGATCATCTCGTTGCTTGCCGCAGCGTTCATGAGCAAATGGAGGCCAAAGTCGGATAGATGTGGCTCGAAGTTCTCGTCAACCAAGATGTTCTTCGACTTGAGGTTCCCATGCAGCAGGGGAAGGTGCAAGCCTGTGTGGAGATGGCCCAGTCCTCGAGCTGCTCCCAGTGCGATTTTGTGCCGTATTGCCCAAGATGGAGCTGGAGCGTAAGCGGTGGATCCTGATCCAGGCAAAAGGTTAGCATTCTTTTCCTTTAGTTGACGTCCTACTGAGTGTAACCATGCAGGGAAAGCAGAAAGAAAGACTTACTATGTATCAGCTCTTGGAGGTTTCCCTTGGGAATGTAGTCGTAAACGAGCAGCTTTTCGTCTTTTGGTCCGTGGTAATAAGCTCGAAGAGGTACCAGATTTCTATGGCGGATAAGTCCCAGCTCCTTGACAGCGGACACAAACTCGTCCCGGTCCTTGACACTTCCATCGCGGAGCAGCCTGAGAGTTATCATCGGCCCAGCCTGGAGCTTGGCTTTGTACACGGTGCCGTAGCTCGTCTTTCCCAACACTTCACCTGACGCATTAAGTACCTGGTCGGCGTTGAATCGCTCGCCTCCCTCAAATGCAACAAGCTTTCCAGTCGTAGCATCCTCTGCCTCGTCAAGCTCACGGTGAAGTGACGGAGAAGTCGTCAGCTTTGACGCTATTGGAGATCTGTTGCTACTACAAATCCCGATGAGAAGTGATAGCAGCAGAACAGTGGCTACGAGAACTCCAATTATGATACCGGACACTGCCCCAGCGGATAACTTGCTCGACCCCGTGGAAGGTGCCGCCACCAGTGCTGGGGAAGTAGCTGGAGCTGCCGCATTGGATTGAATACTGGTTGCTCCCGGTGCTGCTACTACTCCTCCGAGAAGGATGTTGTTGCTTAAGTCGAGCTCCGTCAAGCTTGGAGCCAGGGACTTGAGGAACTCAGATGGAACCAGGCCGGAAAGATTGTTGCTGTTGAGGCGGAGAGATGTCAAGTTAGAGCACCTGGCTTTTGGATCTGCGGCAACTGGAATGCTTCCGGAGAGCTGGTTGTGATCCAAGTCAAGCTCGGCGAGGACACCACACAGCTTCCAGATTGTCGAAGGAATGCTCCCGTTGAGTCGATTGTTACCAAGGTGAATGAAGGCGAGACTGGAGGCATTGGAGATCTCTTCGGGGATGGGACCGGTTAAATTGTTGCTGCTGAGCTCGAGCTTCCTGAGACCCGAGAGAAGACCGATTTCTGGAGGAATGGTGCCGACTAGAGCCCCTTGAAGCTTGGTGAGAGTGATGCTTTCGACAAGAATGGACGGGTCTTGAGCAAGACTGTCATTGAGTGCTGTGGCTGGAACCGAGCAATTCACCGGCGTTCCATCATTGAGCATCCACTGCACGCCTTGCCAGTTGCATAGAGGATTTTGGAAACTCCAACTTAGCAGCAGCGGCAGAGCCGGATTGGTATCCAAGGCAGGTTTGATTTTCAGCAACGTGGACACATCCTGACTCTGGTTTTGCTGCTGTGCTTGAGCATCTATCAAGAGGATTAGCACCGGCAGCAGGCTGCAACAACACCAGAAACGCCGGTTTTGCTGCTGCCGAAGATTGTAAGCTGCCATCGCTTTGGTGTCTTGGTCCCGTCCCTGGTGAGTTGAGAGCTACTACTACTTCCACTTACAGATGATCATTCATAGCTCATTCATTGATTTCTTGCAGGGGTTTGTTCTCATCAAGGCAGTCACTTGGGGCATGCTGCTCCTGCTACTGCATCCATCACCTCGACAGCAAAGAGCGTGTGTACCAAATATTCGCCGCCTGACACATTTTAAAGGTCTGTGCAATTCAGCATGCTCTATAGACTCTTACTCACAACTCACACGCATATATATATTTTTTTCCCTTCTTCTCGGCTTTGCTCTCCAGGCTATGGCATCGCAGAGCTTGCAGCGCACTCCGGAAACGGGCACGGCAGTGTAGGCGGATTCTTTCGAGTTTAAAAAGAAGCTGCGACCATGCAACAAACGCTCTGAGACACTGGAGCTGGAAACAAGCCAGAAACCGTGCTGCTGCTCGGCTGGGGCCACAAAAAGAACTGCTCTTGGTGAGACTTATGGTTGTCTTTGCAGTCTATTCCTCTTATCTACTTAAGACTTTGCAGGTAGTGAATTCATTCACCTTCACAAGGATTTCAAAGAAATAATGCTCCAACAAGTCTCTCCCTCTACAGGTTCGTGTTTATTTGGTCCACGGTGGCGGCAATCCTGGTCCAAGTTTTAACACATTTTTGTGTGAACAGTGGGCGAAAACTCGGCGGCAGAAAAGTCTGATGAGATTTCTTCACGGAGGAATAAAATAAGGAAAAGGTAGCACTCGATCCCTGCAGAGGAAAAATCCTCGGTGTGGCCAAAAAGAGGGGTCATGCGGCGACGAGAGTGACGAGATCCGAACCAGTCAAGGTGACTGATTGATTTTTGAGGAGCTCGAGATCACCCCACCCATACTCTCAGGTTTGACTTTTCTATGTTTTCTTCGATTCTAGAGAAAGGCTGGATGATCTTCGCCCCCCCTGACACACTCACACGTTCTCCAGGACTAAACAAAGGCTTGATCCAACGCTAAGGAAAGCTGGAGAATCAGGATGGATCTCTGGGGATCTACGATACGCGTAAACAATCTCGGGTCCAGCCATGCTTGAAAGGTGGGGAGAAAAATCTTGTTTTATGGGTACCTCTCTCACGCTCTTGTTTGTATTGTCCCAGAAGAAATAAAGGGGAGTAAAGGCATGAGCTTTTTGCTCGCTCGCTGGCCACTTTCTTTCACAGCGTTGTATTTTAACCTCCTTTGTTGATCTTGACGCTGGAGGCTTTGGTGGGTGCAAGTGGCTTAAAGGCGTTCATGGACAATTCGTTGCGTTGACTCTAGAGGCAGGTCACACCAACTTGTCAATCCACTTTGACTTTAGGGCTTGGCTTTTGTGGAAGATTCCAGAGAATAGAGCCTACCTTTTGCTGGTCGCGGGTTCGACTCCTTTGGTGTTGGAAAAGTGTAAAAAGTGCCACATGACGTGTCTCCGTGACGTGTCCCTTACGCGCCAAGTGTGATATTTTTCGAGCTTTCTTGCTAGGGCTCTCTTCTTCTCTCTCGGGCGATGGCAATGGCGCTGGCGTTTACATCGGGCTTGAATCTGGCTCCTGGGATGGCGATCGATTCGTCGCTCGTGAGAGCACGGCAAGGTACTCGTCCGCGGCCGTCTAGATTCAAATGTAGGGCTCACGCTGGTAGAAGCAGCAGCGGCAGCACCGGCAAGAGCTACTATGGCTATGATCTGTATGAGCTCCTTGGCGTCGAGAATTCCGCGCCACAGCCGGAGATCAAGAAAGCATACCGATGGCTCCAGAAGAAATGCCATCCGGATGTCGCCGGCGAGCTGGGACACGACATGTCGATTCTTCTCAATGAGGCCTACGCCATTCTCTCCGATCCGACCAGCCGTGGTTCATACGACGCTGTAAGATTTTCTTTCTTCTTTTCTTTTCTGGAAGACATGAGTTTCTCTTCTTTGTTTTCACAGGTCCGTGCTGAATGGATTCAGTTCGAAGGATTCACGGGCGAGCCGCTCTATTCCAGATGGATGGGACCAGCAAGCGAAGAAAAGGCCGTTTTTGTGGACGAAGTACGCTGCATTGGCTGCTTGAAGTGTGCTCTCATTGCGTCCAACACTTTTGCTGTTGAGAAACGCTATGGTCGAGCTCGGGCAGTTTCACAGTGGGGTGATTCGAAGCCAGTTATCGACGATGCTATCCGAGCTTGTCCCGTGGATTGCATTTCGTAAGTTTTTCTAGTGATTGAAGATTTTCTGTTTCTAAAAGCTTTGTTTCTATAGGTGGGTGGATAGAGGGAAACTAGCAGCTCTCGAGTATCTCATGGCTAAACAGCCTCGCTATACGGTAAACATAGAGCCTGAAAACAGCCCCGGCGAGCGTGCAATCGACGTTTTCAAGAGCGCAGAAAAGTTCTTGAAGAAAAATGCAGAGTTTCAATCTGAAAAGGTACGCAGTTCTTTTTGTACTTGATTTGTAGCTGACACGCGCTTTTCTTCAGGAAAACCCTGCACAGAAATACAGAACGGCTGCTACTGATGCTATACAAGCCCGAGCTGGAAGGTGGTGGCATTTTTTTGTTGGGAAAAGCTACTCCTCATCGGACGACTTCGATCATGCGAGATCCTCGCAGGGAGCAATCGTTCCGCTCAGCTGGTTCGCTAAGGATGTGTATAATCAAGCCTTCAGGGGATCACTGTTCGCACAAGGCAAGATGAAAGCTTTGTACGAAGCCGTCACTCAACAACGGGAATCTTCCTATGCTCAAGCTGAGGAGTACTGGGAACCTCTCAGTAACGTAACTACCCCCATTGAGAACTCGTCATCAACGTCTACAACGCCTGCCACCCGTGTTGACGCGGCCACTAAAACACCACCTCGGATCCACCGACCATCGGAAAAGCAGCAAAAGCTTTTTATGATGAGACAAGCTGTTCCAGTGGCGGTCTCTTTGGCTGCGGCTCTGGTTGTCCAGTTTCAAACGGTATCCAGCTCCCAGATATCTCAAGCTGCGGCCAGTTCAGGAGCGGCACACTCAGATCGGTTCAGCTCAGTGCTCCAGGACCTCGCCTCGACTCCAGGCATGCAGCCACTTCTTGCTGGCATCGTCTGGTACGTGTTAACTTCCGTAGCCTGCAGCTGTGTAGCTCTATTCGTCGACGACTCTCAAACGTAACAGCAGCTCTTGGCTCGAGAGCAAAGTTTCCATTGCTCTTTGGTACGCATGACTTAACTAAGGTGAGTGGAAAAAAATTCAAGCTTTTTAACTTGATTGAGTATACATGATATAAGCCGCACTGTTTCCAGGATCCAGCTCAAGAACACGCTCGGCAGCAGCTTTAGCTCGTGTCAAGTCGTTGTGAACTCGACAAGCGTCCAGCATCATCATCCAGGCCATGACATCTGGCTCCGTCATTCTCCTGAGCAGCCTTTCCGCCTCGTCCAGATATCCAACCCGGCCGAGCAAGTCGATCAAACACCCGAAGTGCTGCGGCTCCAACAAAATGCGGTAGTCCTCGCAGCAAAGTCCGAAGTACTTGCATCCCTCCTCGACAGTCCCAGCAGCATTGCAAGCCGAGAGGACTCCGACAAAGCTCACTTCGTCCGGCTCGACACCGTCCTGCTGCATCCTGTGAAACATCCACAGCACCTTGTCACTGTGACCAGCGACCGCGTACGCCGAGATCATCGTGTTCCAGCTGACAGTGCTCCGGTACTTCATCCCATCGAAAACTCTCGCGGCCTCCTCGACGCTGCCACACTTGGAGTACATGTTGACGAGCGCGTTCCCGAGCTGGACGTCGACTTTGATGCTCTCATCGCTGGAGATCCGAGCGTGAAGCCGTCGGCCCTGGGAGAGATCCGTGAGACGAGCACAGGCATTGATGAGCGGCACGAAAACTATACCGTCGAGGAGGAGCTCGCGATCGTCCAGGCACTGGGCTTCTATCAAGCGGAAGATCTGGAGCGCCTCGTCGAGCTCTCCAAAGTGGACGCATGCAGAGATCATGGCAGTCCAGGCGATGACGTTGGGACGTCTCACAGCTCCAAAGGCCAGGCGAGCGTCGTCCAGGCTTCCACAGTTGGTATACATGGTGACAAGAGCTCCGCCGACGATCACATCACTCTCGAGCTTCTTCTCGGCGATTAAAGAATGGAGAAACTTCCCATCGGCCAGAGCCGAGCTGTTCGTGCAAGCGCTGAGGGTGGCGACGAGCGTGATCTTGTTGGCGATCACGCCTTCGTGCTGCATCCTCCGGAAGAGATGGAGAGCGTCGGAGCTCCGCCCCTGCTGCGCGAATCCAGTGATCACCGCGCTCCAGGCGATCACATCCGGCTGGAACATCTCATCGAGCATCGAGGCGGCGGTGTCGACGTCCCCGCACTTGCCATACATGTTGGCGAGCGAGATCGCGACGGAGCGATCGCGAGTGAGGCCGGACTCCTCGCAGCAGCGGTGGATCATCCTTCCAGGATCGAGGAGCTCGCGGGAATCGCTACAGGCGTGAAGAACAGCGACGAATGTCACCTTGTTTGGAGCGATGCCTTCCGCGAGCATGCGCTGGAAGAGACGCAGCGCGGCGGTGGGATGCCCGGCGTGGGCAAATGCGGTGACGATGGTTGTCCAGGAGACGACGTTGCGATCGCGCATGGAATCGAAGGCCGCGAGCGCGTCGCGGGCGCTGCCGCATTTGGCGTACATGCCCAGCAAGTGATTCGAGAGGAAGAGTGGGGGATTTGGCAGCCGCGACGCAATGTGGGCGTGGAGGGCTTTGCCGTCGCCGAGAGCCCGGCGCTCGCCGCATTGCTGGAGAAGAGTGGCGTATGTGTGGATGTCGATGGAGGCGTGATTGTGGAGGAGCGATTCCATTCCATTGCACGATTTACTCAGGAACCCTAATTCCTCCACAAGGGACGGTGGATCTCTACTTTGCGGGAAACTTATTTAAATATTGTCCGTCCGATCTAACAGTAATTTAGGGCATGGCTATGGCGCTTTGAGCGCATGGAGAGTCTATTCGATCTGGATTCCAGCAGCTATACACGCGCAGTCTCACTCGCCCAACATCGGAATTTAGCTCCGGAGGTTCCATGATCGACAAAATGTGCGGCGGAGAGCGAGGATTTGATGAGAAAGTTCTCGGCCGAGGAGCTCCTCTCTCGCCTCAAATCCTGCGCCAAGGCCAGGGATCTGGAAGAGGGCAAGCGGTTGCACCGCTACATCCAGGGCGATCCCCGCCTCGCCGCCTCCAAGATCGTCGCCGAGCACCTCCTCGCCATGTATGGCAGCTGCGCAGACCTCCGGGCGGCATCGCTCGTCTTCGATTCCATGATCCACGACCCCGACACTCGCTCCTGGAATCTCATGCTCTTCGTCTACATCCGCAATGGATTCGTGGGCGAGGCCAGGAAGCTCTTCGATCGAATGCTCCCGGTCGCGGATACAATCTCGTGGAACTCCATGATCTCCGCATATGCCCAGAGAGGGCATCTAGACGCCGCAAGAACACTCTTTCAAAGCATGCGCCGCCACCGCGACCTAGTGACGTGGAACACGATGGTCACGGGCTACGCCCAATCGCAGTGCGCCAGCTACGCAAAGAAAATCTTTGACCGGATGCCCGCGTGGAACGAGGTTGCGTGGAATTGCCTCATTTGCGCCAGCGAACCGGCGGATGCCAAGTGGCTGTTTGACCGGATGCCCAAGTTGACCGTGCTTGCGTGGACTGGCGTGGTCAAGGCATATGCCGGCGCTGGGAATGTCTATGGCGCCAAGAGAGTGTATGAACAAATGCCCCAGCACGACACTGTCTTGGCCACCGCGATGATCGTCACATTCTCGGAGTGTGGATTGATCGACGAGGCGAGGAGGGCATTCGATGCGATGGGCGAGAAGGATTCCGTGGCGTGCTGCGTGATGGTTTTGCTCCTCGCCCAGAATGGCCGTGTGCTAGAGGCGAAATCGACGTTTGATTCTATGGAGAATCGCAGTGTCGGCGCGTGGAACACGATGGCTAGATCTTTTCTCTGTGACTTTGATGTCGATCGAGCGAGGACGGTGTTTGAGAGGATGCCTCACAGGGATCTGGTGTCGTGGAACTCCATCGTTTCAGCGTATGCTCGGAATGGGTATATGGAGGAATCGAAGTTTCTGTTTGATCAGATGCCGGAGAGGGACGTGATCTCGTGGACGGCGCTGGTGATCGCTGGGGAGCAGTGCTGCAGCATCGATCTAGCGCTGGCGGTGTTTGAGAAGATCCCTCACAGGAACACGGTCTCGTGGAACTCGGTCATTGCAGCGTATGCGCAGAGCGGCTCGTTGGGCGATGCGAAGGCGAAGTTTGACGAGCTTCCAGAGAGGGATATGTGTTCTTGGACGAGTCTGGTCCCTGGATTCGCTCGCGCTGGCCTGTTTGATGAATCCATGGTGTTGCTGGAGAGGATGCCGCAGCTCAACGTTGTGTCTTTCAACGCAGCGATCATGGCATACGCTCTAAACGGTTTCTGGGAAAAGTCTCGCAAGACTTTCGAGCAGATGCCACAGCGGGACGTCGTCTCGTGGAACAGCATGATCGGAGTTTACTGCCAGTTTGGATTCCTCGACGAGGCCAGGGCGCTGTTTGATCAGATCCCGCAGAGACAAGTCGTGTCGTGGAGCTCGGTAGTCTCGGGCCTCGGACAAAACGGGTCTCTTGATGAAGCGAGGGATGTTTTTGAGAGCATGCCTGGACGAGACGTCGCGGCTTGGAACGCTATGGCCACGGTCTACGAGCAAAATGGTTTCCTCCGAGAGGCCAGGACTACTTTCGACGAGATGCCTTGCCAGGACACAGTGTCGTGGAACGCGATGATCCGAGCTTACTCGCGATCGGGGCGAGCGATCCAGCTCTTGAGGGCGATGAACTTGGCTGGTTTCAAGCCGGACAAGACGACCCTCGCAAGCGTGTTGACGTCGTGCAGCCATGGAGGCATGGTTTGCGAAGCTCTGGCTCTCTTCTCTGGCATGGCCTGTGACTTTGGCGTGGCTCCCGCGAGAGAGCACTTTTGCTGCGTGATAGATATCTTTGCGAGGTCGGGGCAGCTGAGCTTGGCGCACGGGATTGCGGCGGCCATGCCTTTCGAAGCTCACGACGTTGTGTGGGGGATTTTGCTCGCGGCTTGCGCTGCGAGCAAGGATGAGATTGCTGGTGTCCGAGCAGCTGAGAAGGCGCTGGAGATGGATCCCGGAGGAACCTTCTCATACGTTTTGCTGGCAAACTTGTATGGTTCCAGTGGCCCGGATGATCGATTCGAGTAGAGCTGGACGTAGAAGATTGATGACGGGAGTAATGAAGGCCATATACTGTGGCTACAGGTGTGACTCTGAAGTGTGGCCTTGGTTTTGTATCTCAAGGTGACATTCTAGGCTCCCTTTCTCTATGTTGTTAGTGTGTACCGTACTTAAGGTAGCAATGCCTGAGGATGAAATTGCCTGTTTGTCACAAGGAACATGGAGGGGATCTCCAGAACATTGCACCCCTGTGATGAAAAGGGATCAGAAGCGGTTCTCGGACTCCACCTTGAGGTATGACTGTGATAAATTGGTGACAACAGTATTTCTTCATTAGAGCTAGTTGGGGGAGAGCGAGAAGCTTGTAGCCAACTTTTTCCAAATGGCCAGGGGACGAGATTGATTCGCTGTGTGGACAATGCGGTGAAGGCAACGAGAGCAAGGAGACGAGACGAATCAAAACTGAGCTTCTCGTCCAAATGCAGGTAAGCTGTAAACCGAAGAAATGAAGAGAAGCTCTTTTGGTTCACAGGGTGTTGGAAACAATGACCAATACGGTCTCGTTCTCATGGCAACAAGCACTCCATAGATCATGTGAATCTTTCCATCACTTAATTCATGATAGTTCACTCAATTTCACTTATTTTAGGGTCACTTTTACTATAACAATTTGGTTGGTGAGCTAAATAAGTTTAACTTTCAGAATCTCTAGGATTTATAAATTTCCTTTTTTTATATTGCAAATTATACTATTACATGTTAAAGAAATGTAAATAAAATAGAACATTTAATAAATATTTAATTTAATATAAAAAGTTATAAGTATATAATATATTAATTATAATACTATAGTAATATAGTTAATTAAATTAGTTATAGTATTTATTTAAATATAAAAATGGATATTACATTAAGTTTTAAATGAGCGTATACTAAGGTTACAGAAATGTCACAACCACAGCCACTACTAGTTTTTTACTAATTTATATTATATAAAATTGATATACATATTATTATATCCTAAACAACATTTATACCACTTTATAACTTTTTTATATGGAAATATATTTTAAAAACTTTTAAAAAGAGTGAGAAAAGATTAAAAAAAACTTTAACTCCATACATAAGCATTTCTGAAAATTTGTATAAATTAACTTTGTTTTTTAGCCCATAATTTTTTAGGATTTTTATGACTATACACTTTATGACTATTAAAAAAATAAAAACTAAAAAAAAAAAAATAAAAAGTCTAAAATATTTTTTATCTATTTTTTACAACAATGTGAATATCAAAATTAATTTTTGCTATGGTTGGCACCTTTTATTTCTCAATTTTGTTCCTCTTTAGACACTTTTGAGTTAGAGTTTCAATCATAATAAATAATTATTTATTGTTTTGTATACATTATTGAGGTTGTAAGTTTTTATGTTACAAAGCATTTACTGATATTATAAACTTTATATTGCAAATCATAATATTATATAAAATATTATTAAAAATATTAAATTATTTACTTGTTGATATATAGAAAATTTCAGAAAAATCATTTTAACATTATTTAATTTATGGAGTTATATTTAAATTAAAATTTACATTTTAATATTAACTTCTTTAAAGTTTTATAATGAATAACTTATTACCTTGAAACCTGACTTTCTTTTAATGATGTTGTAAATTTTTAAAGGTCATAAAGTCATTATAAATGTTTCTAAATAAAAAATGAAATTATATTATAGTTTTTCTACTGAAAACTATTTTTATTGTTAAGTATTTCTATCTAAAATAAGTTGATGGTTAGATCAATAAATAATTTGTATCATAATATAAATAATAAATTAGTTTCTTTTGTTTATATATAAACCTTTTTTATTCAAGATTGTAAATAAAATATTGTTTCTCTAATTTAAATAATAGGTTGATTAACTTTATATTATTTTTACTTGCCTATTAATTTTATTGCCACATCTTTAATTTTTCAAGAAAAAATTAAAGTATTATTTTATATAATTTTTCTTTATTAATTTGTGAGTCTTTAAATCCTTTATAAAGTGACATAAAGTTAAAATATTATATATAACTAAATATGTGAATTTAATATTTAATTTTTCCTCATAGTAATACTATTATGAATTTTTCTTTTCTAGGTGGACGAAACTTTTTAATGTTTTCTTCCATTGTTTTTCCCACAAAAATATATATTTAATAGTATATACATGTATTTACAAACCTTACAGCCGAAATTTATATAAACTTTTTATACTAACATTTTTATATTATTCTTTTATTTCTTGTGAAAAATTTATATTAGCACACTGCTTGCCTTACTTTATTTTATTAATACATTTCTAGTCTATATTATAAATTATGCAACATCTATTAATTTATATACTTTTTTATTCTATTACTTGTGTCAATTTTCACTCAAAATGTAAAATATTTTCAATAATGGCAAATATGTGCTAAAATTTGTTAACACTAAGTAGACCTTTTAGATGCGCTAAACTGATGGTTAACACTAAAAAAACACTAAGACTGAAATGGCCCTAGTTAATTCTAGTTTCTTGGTTCCAACGCTTCTTTTCTTTTGATCACTCCCTTCCATTTTAAATCACTCTATCTCACTTTCTTTTAACACAAATGATAGGAAAGCAGGGACTGACTGCATAGTAGATAGCATGGAAAAATGTATTTTGTAAGTTTAATCAATTAGACATAAGTCAACTTCAAAGCTTTGTAATATCTTGCAATCATAACTATGCTGGCAAAAGCCTCCGTCCATAAGTTTTGTTAGCATTTGCTCAGGAAGGATTTACAACAGATCTTCATCTCGCAGTTGGACATAAAAATGCTAAGAACTCAGAATTTTAAGAACATTCTCACAAGGAGTTGGAGCAGTTTGGGCTTGCAGCAAGTTTTCTGCAATCTGGCTAATGCCAGAGCTCAGGATCTGTCAAAAGAATTTAAATTACCCTGCTGAAGTGAAGCTCATCTTGTTTTGCCATCCCCCATTGTGGCCACCAGATCGACCCAAGCTTTTGACACCTGCTATGGCTGGCGCGGCCCCGTATCCATTAACATTGGAGTTACATGGTCACTCGTCACTAGTCACTCGTCTTTGATTTCATCCTTTGACCGCGAACCGGCAAGTGGCTGTTTGACCACTATTAAGCAACTCTTATTCCTGTGAAAGAGTTTTATCTTACCAAATGCCCTACCTTCTAGGTAGCGAGAGCCGGAATGAATGCTGCGTGCTATGGATTCCACAAGGTCTCCACCACAGGTACACTTTTCACTACCTCGAGCTCGGATAGTTTCCATAGAGCGCGGCTATGGCCTCGCGGTAGTAGGGCTAGCGGCGGTGGAGACGACAAGAGATGCCGGTTAAGCTTGAGGTGTTCTTCGTATCAAAGCGAGCACAACTTTGGAAGAAGACCTCTAGCGGTAATCGGCAGGAACAGTAGCAGCAGCAACAGCAATGACGGGAAGAGAGAAATCCAGGCAACAAGAAAGCCATGGCTTCGAGTTCTACGAGTTAGAATGCGGCTATGGCGGAGGTCGGTTAAGATCTTTTTGTGGTTCTCGGCTGCGAGATTCTCGAGAGCTTTGAGGAAGAACTGGAGGGGGATTTTGGGCGGAGGATTTGTAGCATGCCTCTTCACGGCCGGGAGTTTTTTGGTCCAGCTCTCGGCTGCTACTGCTCCAACCAGCGTTTCTTACTCGACTCTCATTCAATCACTGGAAGCTCAGCGTGTCCAGAGCGTTTTGTTCGAGGAGGGCTCATCTCAAATCTTTTTCAACATCGTTGCCGAGAAAGTGGGATCCGGAGAAGAAGAAGCAAACTCCATGGCTACTTCGAGCGTGAAGAGTGCTTCTTCTTCTTCTGGCAGAGGCAAAGGCACAGGAGAGAAAACTTGGCAGTTTTGTACGAGGAAGATCCGGCACGACGAGAGCTACTTGCTGGGATTGCTGAGAAATGGAGCTGGCAACGTTGAGTATAGCTCGGCTCCTCGATCATTCAGCTCGGTTGCTGCCTCGGTCATCGGCACTCTCCTCACTTTGTGGATCCCGCTCACTCCACTGATGTGGTTGATGCACCGGCAGATCACTGGCAAGGCCGACATGTCCAAGAAACGAAGGAAGAACATCCAGAGCGTCAAGTTTGAGGATGTTGCTGGAGTTGACACTGCGAAAGACGAGCTTCTCGAGGTAAGTTTGCGAAAGAAACTTCGTCTTCCTCTCATGGTTTTTCTTTTCTTCCAGATAGTGTCTTGTTTGAGAGGAGCCTTGAACTTCCGGAGCTTAGGTGCCAAGTTTCCAAAAGGAGTGTTGCTTATCGGGCCTCCAGGAACTGGGAAGACGCTTCTCGCTCGGGCACTCGCGGGAGAGGCCGGAGTTCCATTCTTTGCGGCCTCGGCGAGCGAGTTTGTGGAGATGTTCGTGGGACGAGGAGCAGCGCGCATACGAGAGCTTTTCACCGTGGCTCGGAAGCACGCACCGTCGGTGATCTTCATTGATGAGCTCGATGCTGTCGGAGGACAAAGAGGACGTGGTTTCAACGATGAGCGGGACCAAACTCTCAACCAGGTAGAACAAAAATCTTCTAAGTTCTTCTTTTCTCTCTTGAGTGAGCGAGCTCGTCGTCCTTTGTTCGCAGCTCCTGACTGAGATGGATGGCTTCGAATCCGGGACTGGAGTGCTCGTCCTCGCAGCTACAAACCGAGCCGACGCGCTGGATCCAGCGCTGTGTCGAGCGGGGCGATTCTCCAGGAAAGTTTTCGTGAGGGAGCCCGACTTGGATGGCCGGAGACAAGTTCTCGCTGTTCATATGAGGGGCGTTCGTGTAGAAGGCGATCCGGAAGAGCTCCAGAGATTTGTAGCGAGCATCACGCCGGGCTTTGTTGGTGCCGACTTGGCAAACGTGGTGAACGAAGCAGCGCTCTTGGCCGCTCGACGAGGTAACGAGAAAATCACTGATCCTTTTCTTTTGATCCTTTCCAACTTTTTTTGTGACACTGGTTGATCCAGGACAATCTGCTGTCAATCTCGACAACTTCAGAGAAGCGGTCGATCGATCGAAGTATGGAATTGGCCAAGAACCAAACTTTTTGAGCGATTTTGAGAGGAAGGTGTGCGCTCTTGTCCAGAGCGTGAGAGGCGGAAAGGAAGAACGCTACGTTCAAAGCAACACAATGTAAAGAAAGCCATGGTTATATTATTTTTTATCACCCTTCAAACAAAAAGGTTTCGTTTGTTGTTTTCCTCTAGAACAACGCTTGAGCCCTCTATCTCGAAACTCCAAATTCTTGAATAGTATTTCGAGAATCTCAGATATCTCATCCAAAGCATCCTCACATCGATCTATCAACGCATCCGGATCAAAAAGCGAGGGATCGCGCGGGCATTTGATCCTGAGCCCCGGCGGAGGCTCAACAACATCAAAAGTTGGAGCGCTCTTCCTCTCCATTTGCCTTGGACTGGAAAAACCTTACCCCAACCCCCTCACCTATATAGGCCACCTCACCTTTTTCCCAAAGCCCTAATATCCCGTTTATCAAATTAGGGCTCTCGGAGCTAGGGTTTATCGTTGCCGCACGATGATCCAGTCTTACTCTCGGATCTTCCACTTAGAATGCTTGCTTCCATCGAAACCTTCAAATTATGGCGATTTGGATCGAATCGAGGCAGCGCTGCCTACCCCATGAGAAATTTTGGCCTTTCTTCCTTCCGGCGTTTGGCCGTGAGGAAATTAGGGTTTGACGCTACGGCTATGGCTGCGCAGAGCGCCAATGGCGCCAAAGGAGGATGGATCCCGCCATCGCCTCCAGCTCCTCCTCCTCAGGGATTGATCGTCAACAACACGCTGTGCGGCCACAAGGTGCCGTTCGCGACGAGCGATGGATCCAAACGAGGTGAGGATTTTTCCTTTGCTTTCCTCGATTTCTCCAGCATTGCTACTTCCAGTGACTTGGTATATATGTGGACCGACTGTCTATGATTCTTCCCATATCGGCCACGCCAGGAACTATGTGACATTTGATATTTTGAGGAGAATTCTCGAGGTATATTTCTTTCTTTGAGCTTGCCACCAGCTGGTTTACTCTCATTTCTCCGGCCAGGATTTTTTTGGCTACGATGTTTTCTATGTGATGAACGTTACTGATGTGGATGATAAGATCATCAAGCGAGCTCGTCGGGACCATCTACTGAAAATGTACTTGGAGAGAGTTAAAGATCCCTCAGAGGTACTGCGTTTTCTTGTCTAGTTTGTGTTGCTTACCGCGGAGCTTTCAGGTTATACGAGACCTTACAAAGGCGTTTGATACGGAGAATGAAAAACAGGGGAAGAGTCTAGCAAGTGCAAAGGATGAGTTTGCAAAGGCGAAGGCGTCGCAGAAGAAAGAACTTGAAGAGGTACAGTGATTCGGATGTGTTATTTTTCCGACTAGCTTCTGTTTGTGTTGGGCAGAAAGTAAAGCAGGAGGAGCTTAAGCTTGATAAGGTTCGACAGGCTGAAGAGGCTTTCAAACTTAAACGAGACAAAGATGGCTTAATGGGAATCGATGGCATCAGTCACTTGCTTGGCGACAATGCTGACGACTTTTTGGCTTCGAAATTAGACGATGATCTCGGTCACACTGTTACAGATCATGGGATATATCGGGCTCATGCATCAAGGTACATGCAGTTGAGGTGGGAGAGGTTCTGAAAGTTGGGATGTACAGATACGAGAAAGAATTCTTTGAGGACATGAAGAGTCTTGGGGTTAAACCGCCAGATGTTATCACCAGAGTCACGGAGTAAGTTGTCAAATTTTTCTCTCTTCTAATTTTCTTTTTGGTAAAACCTTTTCAACTGCAGCTACATTTCGAAGATTGTAAAATATGTCGAAACTATCATCGCAAATGGATATGCTTATGAAGTCGATGGCAGCGTATACTTCGATACTGAAGCATTGTAAGCTTCTTAACTTTTCTTGTGCGGTTTCTAACATGCCTTTTCTCAGTAACACAAAGCACACTTATGGAAAGCTTAATCCGGCAGCTGTAGGATGTGTTGGTCTGGCTTCTGAGAGTGAAACGAACTTCAAAACCAGAAACAAGAAAAACAATAACGACTTCGCGTTATGGAAGGTACGCTACGAGTTTATAGCACGTCGTGACAAATTTGTTTGCAGGAAAGCAAAGTTGGGGAGCCTTTCTGGGATTCTCCATGGGGACCTGGCCGTCCTGGTTGGCACATCGAGTGCTCGGCTATGGCCAGTGACGTTATTGGGGAGATCATTGATATCCACTCAGGTGGAGCGTAAGTATTCATTCCAGAGGCTTGAGACTTGTAAGCTCACGCATTTTTATCTCTCAGTGATTTGAAATTTCCGCACCATGACAATGAACTAGCTCAGGCTGAAGCTTACCATAGTTGCTCACAGGTACGCGTCTCGTGGTAAAGGTATAGGATTTTCATTGTCTTTACTTGTGCAGTGGGTGAATTACTTCTTTCACAGCGGTCACCTCTCAGTGAACGGACTAAAAATGTCCAAGTCTTTGAAGAATTTCACTACGATCAGACAGGTGAGGCTTTATGTCTTGTCTTTCTAATTTTTATTAATAACATGGTGCAGGCACTGGAAGAACTACATTATTCTTCTAGTCAGCTTCGACTTCTTTTCCTTCTCCATCAGTGGGATAAGGTAGTTTTTTCATATACAAGTTTATTACTGAGACTCTTCTTTCTTAGCCGATGGATTTCAGTGCGTCAGCGATGAGTGAAGCTGCACAAAAGGAGAAACAGTTTGACAACTTGTTCAGAGAAGTCAGAGATATCGTCAAGGAGGTAAATTCATGTTGGCATCTAAGTGTAATCGCATTACAATTCATATGTGCAGACCGATGAGATGCTACCAGGAAATTTTGGAGACAACGAAAAAACACTAGAAACATTGCGGCGCGAAACTGAACTGGAAGTAAGCTCTTGGATAAAAGACTTCCCTCTTTCCTCTAATTTACAGTGCACAGGTCAGAAGCCATTTAGAAGACAATTTCAACACGGCCAGGGCTCTTAAAAGTCTCTCCGACCTCGTCGGTGGAGTCCACTCCTACTTGAATCAGTCCGTAAGTAAAAGCTACCAGTAGAGATTGACGTGTGTTTTGGTACTCTTAGAAATTCGATTCCAGCAGCCCGAGTCCTGTACTGCTGAAGAAGGTGGCGAGCTATATCAAGAAAACGTTACAAGTTTTTGGTGAGCTGACTCTTAACTGTCTAAGAATTTTCTAACTTTATTCACATCATGTCCAGGTTTATATGAATCTGATGCCTTCGCATCACAAGCTCAAGCGTCTTTAGGAGAGAAAAATGGGCCTACCCTTGATCAGTTGATCGACACGCTGTGCCAATACAGGGCAGATGTCCGTGACGCTGGGAAGGCCAATGTAAGTTTTTAATTTTCTACATTGGTGGCTAAAGCTTTATGGCGAATGACAGGAAAGAATCATGGAGCTCTCTGACGATCTTCGGGACCGTGTCCTTGTCGATCTAGGTGTGAGCCTGATGGATAAAGATGGAGGTTTCTCATGGGAGCTTAAGGATGCCGAAGTACTAAAAAGAGAGAGGGAGGCAAAACTCAAGGCCTCAACAGACGCAGAAAGAAAGAAGTGTCAGACAAAGAAAGAACAGAAGGTTGCTAGTTTTCCTTTGTGTTTTTTGTTCTGACCCAACCTTACACAGGTGAAAGAACTGGAAAAGCTGGATGCAGCTCGAGATCCATCCGAGTACTTTAGGAAGCTCAGCGAGAAATACAGCCAGTTTGACACGCAAGGAATTCCCACACACAACGCGGAGGGGAAGGAGCTGTCCAAAGCCGCTAGAAAGGTTCGTCGCATTCTTTCTCCTTTCCTTTTCTGTCCTCGAATGAATCAGCCGTGCTTGATCGATCCAGGACGCGGACAAAACTTACAAGCGCCTCATGGACGACCACGCGAAGCTCCAGGCAAAACTGGCCACTGATCCTCACTATCTAGACAGAATACGAAAGGAAGTGGAGGAGCTGGACAAGAGAATCCAGTCCCTCGCATAAAAGTTTTCTATAATCGTACGGTCAAGCGTACGACAATAATATTCAAGCAAGTACGGAATTATACGGTCAAAATAAAGCATTGGAGTTAAATCCTAGGGTTTAATTCGGGCATAGGGTTTATAGGTTTAGGGTTCTTGGCAGCTATGGCGAAGGCGGCGAAGGCCGCCGCCAAGGAATTCGCGGCGCACATCCGGCTGACAGTGAATGCGGGGCAGGCGAAGCCGGGGCCTCCCGTCGGGCCGGCGCTGGGGCAGCATCGGCTGAACATCATGGCGTTTTGCAAGGATTTCAATGCGCGGACGCAGCACATCCGGGCCGACGTCCCCATGTCGGTGCTCATCACCGCGTACAAGGATAGTACGTTTGATTTCGTGCTCAAGTCGCCCAAGACGAGCTACTTCTTGAAGAAGGCCGCGGGGCTGGAGATTGGGGCTCACAAGCCGGGGCACGAATCGGTGGGGACTGTCACCTACAAGCACATCTACGAGATCGCCAAGATCAAGAAGACGGATGCCAACTGCAAGGACAAGCCGCTGGAGGGGATTTGCCGGTCGATCATGGGGACTGCCAGATCCATGGGAGTAGCAGTGAAGCACGAAGTAGACAAGTGATGGGAAAGTTTGATCTTTTCCTCGTCCTCGCTCTCTAACCTGGTTCGTTCTTTTGATCTTCTTCAGTTGTTCTTTGGTTGCTTACTTTCTTTCTCGCTTGTCTTGATTTTTCCAGAGGATTGTTTCTTTGTTTCTTCTGCGTGAGCGTTCTTGACTGTAAGCTTTCGTCCTTCTCTCGTTGTTGTTTGTGGCACTGTAGGATTTTTTTGTTTCTGTGCTTTTTTGGTCTGTGGCAAGTGATGGTAAGATTTCGATGATTCAGCTGACATCACTGTGAAGCTATACTATATGGTTTGCTGATGCCACCTTTTTCTTGCTATAATGTTTCGTTTTCCGTCGTGCTTTGGCAACTGATGTCTATATTTCGATGATTCAACTGAAATTCTCCTGAAGTTTCTCTTTGATCGCTGATGCCATGAGCCGGATGTTTTCTTTTCATGTTTCTTTTTCCGATTCTAACCCAACATATTCAACTGCAGGAAGGAACGCAAAGGTGATACGGTATTTTTCTCCTTGTCTTTCATCAAGGATTTGTAAAAATTTAATGTCTTTGAGGATGGAAACACATCATAAGCTTGACGAGTTGGAAGCGTGCAAGAAAGTGCTGTAATACCAGATGGACAGTGTGTGACAATATGTTATTGTCGTGATAACAAAAGCACACAGAAGTAAAATATCGCGGGCCAAAGATTAAAACTGCTTCCGTGGCTGTTTTGTCGACGCGCGCAAGCTTATAATTCTTGATGATAGCAACGATTCATACGGAAGTGATTGCATTGACACACGCATTGGTACTTTGTGTCGCGCCAAGTTGCCGAGAAAGCATTCAGAGAAGATATTAGAGAAAAAACAATTAAAAGAATTTGGGGGCCATTTTCTCGCTAGAAAACACGACGCTGTGTCACATTCCTTGAGATTCCCTGACACTTTTTATCGCCAAAAAAAAAAGAGAAAAGGAGAAAAAAATCATCAGTGAGGAAGGAGTGAGCTTTTGATCCAGGGCAAAGAATTTGGCGCCTCGCCTTATATGGGCGAGAGGGCGCGCCGGCACAGATGCTATTGATCCATGGATCCTCGCGGCCCAGCTCGCCTGACCACGGCAATGCGGCGGCGGCGGCGGCGGCGGTGGCGCCGTTGGGTGCCTGCCAGGATCAGGGCAGCGGCAGGATGGACGATGCCGAGTTTAGCGCGGCGCTGGAGATGATGCTTTGCTCGCCGCAAGAGCAGGGAGGCGGTGGGAACGGGTTGATGAAGAACGAGGTGGAGTGGGCGCAGGAGGGATGGACCAGCCTGCTCAATCCCAGCGACGGCGGCGGCGATGGCGAGGAATCATCCGTGAGTTTCTTGTTGTGTTCTTCCAAGAATTGAGGAGATAATTGTTGGTTATTTTGGTCTGGTAGAGCAAGAAAGGGGTGGTGGTGCCACAGTTTGTGCAAGTCCGGGACAATTCCGGGAGCGCTACTCCCAGCAATAGCAGCAGCTCGGGTGGGAGTGGAATCTCTCCGAATCTCAAGCAGCGCTTGCGGTGGACGCCGGAGCTTCACCAGCGATTCGTGGAGGCTGTGGCTCTCCTCGGCGGCCCCGAAAGTAAGCAGAGTTCTGCAAGTTTTTTGGATGTTCTTGCTCGTTTTTTTTTGGATTTGATCGATCGATCGCTCTTGCAGCTGCTACCCCAAAGTCGGTTCTTAGCGTCATGGCGGTGCCGGAGATCACCATTTACCACGTCAAGAGCCATCTCCAGGTGAAAGTAGCAATGCAGCATAGAGTGTGACGATTAAGCGTTGTTTTCTTACCTACAGAAGTATCGACTTAACAAGCAAATCCCTGAGGCCCCCGAAGGAGGTGAGCTTGTTTCCATTCCCCATTCCGTGTTTTATATCATCTCTTTGGTGTCACAGCTCCCAAGCCCGAGAAGAAGAAGCTCACATTGAACAAGTTGGCCGAAACCACAGCGTAAGTGATCTTCTACTCTCTCTCTCTCTGTGTCTCGCTCGCTCAGTTTTCTTGGAGAATCACAACTTCGGGTATCGCAGGGTGACGGAAAACCTCCGACTGCAAATGGAAGTCCAGCGGCGACTTCACGAAACCATAGAGGTTTTTATTGCTCTTCCTTTTATTTTCCTGGATGGATTTCACATGCTTGATCTTGCGTGTGTTTTCCTCACAGATCCAACGCCAGCTCCAGCTCCAGATCGAAGCTCGCCTCCAGCTAATGCACGACGGCGAGCTCAAGCTCAAACACACACAAGCCAAGAGCATTCAAAGCGAGGACAAGGGAGAACCAGAGGCCACTTGTTCTTCCAAAGGCGACGAAGTCGTTGCCGAGGCGGCGGCGAATCCAGGCCTCGCAGTGCCAAAGACGAAAAGGCCACTGGATCACGAGGAAGATCGCACGGAAGATACGAGCGAAGTTACGTGTAACAACGCGACTGTCTCACCCAAAAGACGGCTCAAACTATCACAACCTGGAGCGAGCGAGAGCTCAGTGGTCTCACACTGAAAAACCAGCTTTCGTGTAACATAGTAGCCATAGATTTTCTTTCGCGGCAATCAATCCAGAGTACATAAAAATTCTTCTTTTCACCTCGGTGATCTTCGTTTTCTCTCGAAGAGTTTTATTCGCGAAGAATTCGTGTCGTGTGTCACTTGAATCCACTGTCCCAATCCAAATCGTTCCACTTCCCAGAGTTCTTGCTCCTGCTCGAAACCGCATCGTCGTCATCCTTGTCGACGTCCCAGCCGGTCCACGACTCGTGAAGATCCACCGATTGAAAGGTAGAGTTTTGCGAGCCATTTGCTTTGCTAGCCTGCTCATCGTGGTGCCTGCGATTGTTATCATCATCCCAGTCGTCCCACCCTTTGCTACTGTTGCTGTTCTTAGCGCTGCTCTTGTTCCCGTCCGGATTACTGTTGTTCGCGGCAGCTTTCTCGTTGTCCCAATCGTCCCAGTTGCTTCTCGAGGAGCTAAACTTCTGGTAGCCTTTGTTCGCGTGAGGATCGTCAACGTTGTACAGCCGAACAGCCTCCTCTTTTGTGTAGTTCTCCACTGTCTTGGAAGCCATAGCCATGACTCCCTTCATCAGGCCCCACGTTTTATGCCCAATCTCGGTGGTCTTCGCACTCACCACCGACACAGTCTCGTTCATTTTCTGGTCGTATCCTCCATCTTTCACCTACAAAAAAATCAAAACACATCGATCGTATAAGAGAGAGAGTGAGAGAGACAAATCTCCAAACACAACATACCTTACTGGAAAGATCTTTGGTGACCGTAGACGCCGCCACGGCAGCCGACTGAGCTGCCGAAGACGCTACGACTGATAGCTTGCTAAATCCCTGGAAATCCACGAGCTTAGCCGAGATAACAGCAAACTTTTTTCTACCTGAGAAACAATAGACATGGTGTCCTTGAGCACGTCATTCGCAGGCGGTGGAGGTGGCGGACGATTTCCACCGGATCCAAATCCCACATACTTCCCTCCCTGCGCAGGAGGCAATCCCTCGGGCCGAGAAGCATTCTCGGCTTGCCTCCTCGCAAAAAACGCGTCTTTCCCAGCCGCCGACGCCGAGAGCTGCTCCTGGCTATACAATCCATCCGAGGAGCGCGACCGAGGAGGTCCACCGGGAGCCTTGCCAGAGAAAGACTCCGCGCTCTGGTTTCTCCTCATACCATCTCGACCACCATCGTCCCACTCGTCCCATCCCTTGGAAGCTCCATTGGTGGAAGAAGAGCTCTTGACAGTTTCCTTCACCACTGGCGGAGCATTCCACGATCTCCCCTCTGCCAGCGCCTGGATTTTCTCCCTGTAGACCTCCGCGGCCCGGCTGTTATACTTGGCCACAATCTCGGTCTCCTTGGGGATGCCATACTCGGCCAGGAAGCGATTGAGCGCGTCGTTGCCCCCGGCCTCCATCTTCCGGAGCTGGATCTCGGACCAGGAATCCATGGACACGGATCTCACGAAGCTGATGTGGACGCCCAGCCCCCTGTGCTTGCCCGAGCACTCGAGACACATGAAGACGCCGTAAGACACCGACGCCCACTGTGGATTCTTCTGCGAGCAATCCACGCACGTCTTGTTCCCGGGCTGCGACTGGAGCTCCCGGAACTTGGCCGCTACTTGCCTCGACGCCATCGCTGCGCCGATCGAAACCCTGGATGGATCGAACGATCAGCTCCTCCGCCGAGCCGCGTAGATCCGAGCTGCGGGAATCCCAGAGGAGCAAAGCCTTACGCTGTGGCGCCTTGCGATCGGCGATCGCTGCTCCAGATCCAGAATTTCGTCCATCCAGATCGCTTGCCCTAGCTGCGAATTTATAGTAGAATCTTTCCCTTTTTTAGCATCTAGTCATGCCGACGTGGCCAGTAGCGTCATCTCCACGTCAACCCCACGCGGTAATGACGTGGAATTCAATTGAACGGGTGGGCATGGCATGGCACCCCGCGAGTTCTCTTCCAAAAAGACTCCATTTTTTCTCTCGCTTTCTTCGCCTTGCTCGGACTGTGGCTGCCTCGTCTCCTCGATCAATCCCCTCTTCCCCTTTAGTTCTCTCAGCCTCTCCAAGGATTCCTCCATTCGATCCGGCTCTTCGCTTTGCTCGGAGGCTTGTCTCTCTCGCAAAGCACTCATCTCGGTGGTAAGAACTCTCGATGATAGCCTGTAGGAAACACAGAGTCACTGCGTCAATCTCTCTGCCTGGAAGTCGTAGAAAAAAAAGGGGAAGCGAGAGAGAGAGAGTGAGAGATCTTACCAAGATGACTGACACAATGGTTCGCCAACAGGGAAGTTTCTATGTCGACGAAGGATACATCTCGTCAGATATGTCGTCCTCGCCGCGCTCTCCTGCGCTAGACAGCAAGAAAAACCATCAGAGCCCCCCAAGGAAATCTGTGCAAAAGAACACTACAAAGCTCACCGCCACCCATGAGGCGTCGAATCTCTCGCAGCTCAACGAGTCGCTGATGCAGGAGATGTCCATGCTGCACGCCGAGAGGCACTACTACGTTGTCAAGATCGACGAGCTCGAGGACGAGTTGCATACCATGGACTTGAAGAACGAGGCGCTGGAGCGGGAGATCCAGCAGCTCGGTGGGCGCTTTCAGGTAGTGAGCATCAAGGCTTCTGAGGTCCAGGACCAGCTCAAGCAGCAGCTTCATGTCGAGAAGGATCGGAATAACCGGGACTTGTCGAGTGTTTTGCAGAGAGCCGAGGACGCTGAAAATGCAATGGCAGATGTGATTAGTAAGATCGATGGCCTGAGCAGAGAGTTAGAGCAACTTACTTCCAGCGAGGTTCATGCTACCGGGGACGAGCACTTCCATCCCGAGTTCACCAAGGAGATCGTCGAGGAAGAGCTGCAAAGGTTAACGGAGGCCGTGGCAGCAGCAAAGCAGGAGATCATAAACGCCACCAGCATGCTGGACGTGTTGCGAGAAGAAGGCGACGTCGTCAAGGAGCACAATAGAAAGCTTGAGACCGCCCTGGCCTCGACTCAGAAGCAGTGCCAGGAGCTGGAAACTCAGGAGCTCCAGCTCGCTGAAATGCTCTCCAAGCTAAACAAGGACGTGAGAACCATGGCAGCCGATGACGCTGGTGATAACAGTGGTGATCCAGAGTTCGCGGCCACGGCACTTCCTCTCTTTGTCGGGCAGATAAGTCAGGCTCAAAAAAGTGGCACTACGCTTGAAAAGGATTACGCCACCCTGAGGAACTCCGTGTGGAGGGTGGTCGAAGCGCTCAAGCAGAAACAGCTCCAGATATCAAAGCTCGAGACCCAGCTCTTTGCAGTCGGAGATAACAAAAAGGCCCTGGAAGTTCAAGTGAGAAGGCTTAGTACCACGTCTGCGGAGGCATCAAAGCATGCAAAAGAGGAAGTTACCCGAATGAGGGAGAGAATAGTCGAGCTGACGGACACCTTGGAGCAGAGCGAGGCTAGCACTTCGCAGCTTCGAACGGAGCTTGAGGCTGCAAGAAGAAAGTTGAGAAAGAGAGAGCTTGCATCAGCAGATTACGGGTTACCGATTTTGGCAGCATCGGCCTCGTTGACAGCAGTCGGAGTATGCTTGTACCTCAGCTCCAAGAAAAGATGAGAAAACTAGTCCCAGTGATTCAATTTTGTAGTCGAAGTAAAAAAGAGATTAGCCTTCAGAGTTGTACAAATACAGTTCCTTCTAGGAGAACAAAAAAGCGAAGAGAAGCTTAGTCTTGTTCATAGCCTAGTTTCTTCCGGTTTTCTTTCTCTCCGGCTGCTCAAAGCAAGATAAGTTTCAAGAACGAAGAAGCTTAGAATGACTTACCCATGAGTTCGATTATAGCACGCGTTGTTCGTTTCTCCAGTTTCTCCAGCTTCTTTGTAGCGTCTCTACGCAAGTCCCAGTTGGCCTTCTTTGGAGCGATGCTAAGCATGGGATCCTGAATGAAAGAAAGAGTTGCAGCCTAGAGAAAGAAAAAAAATTCTTCCATACCTCTGCATTGCTTGTATCAGTAGGCACGGCAACGGGATCCTCGAATTTGGGAAGAACAGGAGGTTCTCTTTTCAACTTTTGGAGCTCCTCGTCGCGCGGTAAATAATTCCGAAACCTTATAGGCGGAAGATCTCTACAAGCACGAGAAAACGTAAAGAATAAACACACAATCACCCCTGCGATCGAGACTTACGCTTTCTCCTCTTGTAAATTTTCTTTGCCATTCGCATCGACCTCTTGCTCGCCATCGCCATCGGCGGCTTCCACTCCAGGCGCATCCTCATCCCCAGCGCCGCCGAGCTCCACAGCCTCGCGCAGCGCACGCAGCCGCTCGCGCCTTTGCTCCACGCTCTCTGCCATTTGCCCTAGAAATATTTGTTAAACCCCCTGTGTCTAGGGCTAGGGCTCTTGCGCATGAATGATTTGGAAGAAGAATGCAGCGCGTCTTGGCGTGCGTCGGGAGCCTGGCCTCGCCAATCGCATCGCAAGGTGTGATCGATCCATGATTTCTAGAATGTAGGCACTCGCATCGCCTTGATCGCGTTTTTGCAGCTAAAGAATCGAGAAGGTACCTTTCGACAATACCTTTCACAGCACCATCCGAGCCGCGGCAGGCCTTAACGAATGTGAAATTCACTCCCGTCGCCCCTTTTCTCTTGATTCCTCGCGTGATCATCTATGACGGGGTCTGCCATCTCTGCAATGCCGGTAAAAAAAAAAAAAATCGCGTAACTCTCTCTTCTAAGATTTTTTGTTTTGCTTCCTCGATCGTCCCAGGAGTGAAATGGGTGATTGACAAGGACAAAGACGAATGCATCAGCTTTTGCTCCGTGCAATCCAAGGCCGCGGAGCCATATCTCATCGCTTGCGGAGTTGGACGCGAGGACGTCCTCCGGAGGTTCATCTTTGTGGAAGGGCCGGGTGTTTGCTCTTCCGGATCCTCAGGCAAGTTCACAGCTACAAAACTTTTCTTTTCGTTCGATTGATCAGCCCGCAATCTCTTTCTTGCGTTGCTTGCAGCGGCATTGAGAGTCGCGTCCTACCTTCCATTTCCATACTCAGCACTCAGTTCCTTCCTCGTGATCCCAGCTCCACTCCGAGACGCCGCCTATGACTACGTCGCCAAACATCGCTACCGCTGGTTTGGACGCTCCGACAAGTGCATCGTCCCTTCGGACGAAGTCCTCCACAGGTTTGTCGACAGGGACGAGCTCATGGAGCTGCGAGAAAACCAGGACATCGATGATCATCAATCCACGGGCTGAGAGGTATCTGGTAAAACTTCTCAGAAGAGGCAGGAGAGGCTTTAAGGTTACAGACGGCAGGCAATGGAGAAACTTACGCTTGTCTCATTTCTTTGCTTGCAAGAGAGTGAAATCTACATGGGAATCTTTTGGACGTGTTGTTGAATGCGATCGCTTGCTGGGCCGTCATAACAAACGAAATTGGCCTCTTCTGGAGGAGAACCAAAAAGACGACCATGATCTAGATGTCACTTCGCCACCTTTCAACACGAGCTTTCCTTCGGCAAGCTTGCGAAGGACGTGCTGCTTGAACATCTGTGCTGGTTGCATTCAGAAGCTGTAGCAGCTACCCCTGTCGGTTTTGAAGACGAGTCGGACGAAGGTGGCCAACCTTTCTCGAAGGTGCTTAGAGGATTCCAGCATCGTTCTTTCTGTAGATTGCCTTTAGGCCTGAAGGACGTGGTTCCAACGCCGTCGACATGGAAGTTGTGCTAGATGCGGGATAAACTCCTCCAGCAGCTGATGGATCCGCATTCCATCCTGTGCTTCCTCTGTAGACGACCGCAAAGAGGTCTCGCACGGCTTCCTGGTTGGGAGATATGAGAAACTCGCCTACCTTCTTGATGTGCCACACACAAACCTTCCAAACTACACATACAAAATGACGAAAACCAACCGCATTCGAACTCTCGAGTTTTCTTCAACACAGTAGCGTACTTTAAAAATCGCTAATTCACCACAGCAGTGCCAGAGATGCTTCAGTATTGGGCTAAACCAGACGTGCTTAACACCCTAGTAGCGACAGAAGCATGAGATCACCCTTAACTTCCAGTTTTGGTATGGTTAATTTGCAACAATGTTGTGAACATCACGAGATTTTCTACTTGAAAAATTTAAAACGGTATCTACAGTTTGTAACTGAAATTTTGTCAACCTTTTCAAGATAATTCAATTCATAGAAATTTTTTGCTAGAAAATTTTCTAAAATTTTTATTTGTATTGATCAGCGACTCAAGCAAGACACTCAGGCGCCCGGAGCTCCGACACATCTCCCGAGCTTTGGGCACTGGCACCGAGGCTCAGGCACCAGCTCTCAGGATCAGGAGTGAGTTGCACATAAGTAGATTGGGTCATTTTTCAACGACAGAGCTTGCCCATACTAAGGTCGAGAAAGGTGGTGTTCTTGGCCAGGCATTGGGCTTCATGTGGACACGGACAAGTCCCAACTATAAGTTGCTTGAAGAGGTTTATCATGCTGGATTCACCATGTTGTTGTATATGTTGCATATCTACATAGTTCTTGGACGTTACTGGTGGTTTTCTATGTACTTTTCCTAATCTTTTATATGGTAAATTAACAAATGGTTTATGGTTAATAGTATTTAGATAAGTTTATATAAGGTTTATCTTATTGTGTAGTGATAAAAATTTTAGCTAGTTAATTCTTATAAAACTTTTTACAGTGGTCAAAACAATGTATAACTTTTTTAAAGTGTTATTTATAAATTACAGAGAAAAAAAGCTAAAATAGCTTAAAGTTTGATAATGAAACTCATTGCTTTATTGATTGTTTATCTTACTCTTTATGTAGAGTTTAATTTAGGACAACAGGTAAATAAATTTTATTTTAAATTTTTTAAGCTTAATATTTTTGTTTAGTGTAAATATAAAATTGTAATAAAAACTGGATGTGTATGGTTAGCAGGTACTGATGCAAATGTGGACATTATATTTACTTCATTATCTGGAGTCACTTTAACTTACCGGAATTTAGACCATACCAATTATGATGATTTTGAACGTTGTAGTACTGATGTGTTTGATGTTCAAGGTACATGTTTTTCAGAATATGATAAAATATGTAGAATGATAATATCACATGATAATATGGGGTCTCATGCTGGATGGTATATTGATTGGATTGATTTTGGAACTCCATCAAATGATTTTGCAGTGCATTTTGACATGGGAATTTGGCTTGAGGGAGATACTTTATCATATGTATCAGATAAGTGCAAAGTGTAATTAACTACAAGAATTTCTAATGCATATACAAAATAGAGAATTATTTGTTACTTAACATTTAAATATTTAATATTTTTCATGAGTTTAGATATAATTCTAATATATTCTATCAAATCTGATTTATCTTTACACCTATATTTTTGTTTTTAGATTCACTTGACATTTATTTGTATTGCTAGTTACAAACAAAATGCAAAGGTTTTAAGGAGGAGGGGTTTCTAGCACCACGAAGGCCGGCCTCCCCGCCCCGACGAACCCCCACTCGGGGCTGTTGCAGTGTGGGTATATTGAGTATTGTTGTTATCTTCTTCTAAGTTTGACATTTTATGGTTAATATTATTTTATCACAACAGCTAACTATGTTGCTATTGCTAAAGCAGTCAGTGGCTATAGAAAGCTATGGTGAATTTCATAAGGCCATGAGGATTATTATTTTAATAGATTTAATTAAAATATAAATGAAATTTATAATAATCTTTTAAAACCTATAAATTCAATTCTTTTATTTAAAATTAATTTATTATGTTAGTTTGTCAATTGATAGGTAAAGATCTCTATAAACGAAGTTTAAAAAGAAACTCTATTATTTTATTTTTAATTTTTTTTTAACCTTTTTTTTAGCAGATATTTTCCTTGATATTCTTTGTTATAAGATCTATAAGTATCTCTAACTAGGTAATACCCTAATTATAGTACTATAGCATATGAATTCTCTATTTAGGATTGAATATGGTATATGCATTTTTGTATATAAATAAGGTTAAACCATACCTATTCTTATATTTCAAGCACTCACATTGGTGTGCTATTTCAAACTTTTTAGCACTACTTTAAAGATCATACTTTTGTTTTTATTCCTTTATTCTCTTTTAGATTTAGATCTATATTAGCTTTTCTCCAAATCTAGGTTTATAGCTATTAGATATATTCTTCTTTTTTAAATTTTTTTTCTGCCATGCCATTATCAATTAAGCAATATATCATTTATGGCTTCTAATATTGCTTCGTTTGGTCAAGCTTTTGGTGTTGTGGGGTGTGATAATATGAATGTTACCCCATCTTTGTTGTGTTGCTATCATTAGCTTCTATAGAAAGTAATTACACAATGTCTTTTATTTCTCATCTTCTGTTGGTGTGGAATGTGATTTTGATATTGGTTAGAGAACTATGGATAATGTAATGTAGTTCTTGAAGAATATTTAAATATCAAGTTTATAATGTAAGTGCATAAATATGGAAAGGGAATACAGAAAATATGCATGTCAATTAGCCCAAAAACCCTAGTTTATATACAGGAGCGAGTGGTCCGGATTGAAACCAATCCGACGGCTACTAAAATCCCACTATGCTAATATTAGTATACGGCATCATAATCGTACATTTGGCACTCACATCATCCCCTCCTCTTAGAATAATAGAAGACCATTAGGGTTCTCTTGTAGATGGGCCGGGATCAAGAGGAATGTCAAGAGGAGGCATTGGCGGATCTGTAGGTGATATTAATTGCTCTTGATCCCTTGGTATAAAGTGTTTTAACCGTTGCACATGCACAATTTATGGAGGATCAATTTGCTAAATGTCATGCCGAACCTCATAAACTTGTAGTCCAACTTGCCATATATCGTAAGATGGGGAAAACAGACTAACACCAAGTCATCCACTTTGTACTCCGCAGGTGGACGATGATGGGAGTTGTTGTCCCACTTGTACGTGGCTTAAGTGTTCGGCAGACTCTGCTCAGACAAGTGGAAGAATGCTTGTCAAATACTGATCCCATAACTTAGTATTGGCAGCTTGTGGCAATCGCAAAGGTAAACTCAGCTCTATTAGTAATATTAGATCATGACCATATAGGAGTTTATATAGTGAAGCACTAATAAAACTCTACACCCCTATGACATATGCATACCAAAGAGACGGCAAATAACCATCCCAATCTAAATGCTAAAAGTTCACATACTTTGCGATCATCCCTTTGAACGTCTGAACAATCCATTCCACCAAACCGTCTAATTATAGATGATAAGCACTCATGAAAGTGTGGCGTATCTCCAATCGAGACATCAAAACATGAAATGCCACAGCTATAAATGTTGGACCATTATCCAAAAGAATCCGCTCTAGACAAGAATGCTGGAACACCACTCAATTGAGGAAGAAGTATCTAAAGGCAGTTGCAGAGGCACTAGTAAGGGCACTAACTTCCACCCAACGAGTCAAGTAATTAGAAGCAATAACAACATACTCATTGCCAGCAATTGACCTCAAGTCACATCTTTAGCTAATAGAAGACCTACACAACTTCTCGGTCACATAACGAAGTCCCATATGCCCACCTAGAACAAGAGAATTATAGTAGGCATGGAAAAACCATGGAATAAAAACAGAAGGCACCACCAGCCGTAAAGGATCATCATGATCCATCCGCACAAAATAAAGAAGGCCATCTTCAAGGCAATGCTGAGAATGTAAATGCCGAAATGGCAAGTCATCAGCAAGTGATGTAGGATTCTCAAACCCATCTCGAAGCCTTCGAATCCATGGCTCAAGCTCTTAAGCCTCGCGAACCTCATCAAGAGAAGGTAGATTTTGCTCTACACCTTATGGACACTGAACGTCAAGTACAACAATCGCTGACAGCATAGAATCCTTGTCTAGAAACTCCACAGATGCCAGAACAATAGCCTCTAAAAATATGAGAAGAGAGTGGAGAAGGAAGAGGAGCTTGAGAAAGGGCATCAATATCAGCCATAAAATTCTTGGGGCGATGAACATCAAAATCATATATCTGAAGCTTCAAAGCTCACCGAGCAGTATGACTAACTAGGTTCTTTCACTTTAATAATGAAGTAACAGTAACATGATCACCTTCAAATAATGTCCAAGAACTATATAGATATGCATGAAGTTTCTCAAAACCCCAGACTGCTGCTAAACACTCCTTCTCTATCGTGGAGTAGTTCACCTCTATTGGTTGTAATGTATGGTTTATATATGCAATGGGATGGCACTAACCAAGCACACTCGGGCTCTCTTGCATCAACACACTTCCAAGACCAATATCATAAGCATCCACGTGCAAAATAAAAGGTCAAGTGTAGTCAGGATATATCAAAACTGGAGTTGTCA